TCGGTCCCAGTCCGGAATATACGGTCCGGTTCCGGGTAAACCCAAAAAAGTCTTGACCAAATAGCTAGCCCTAATTAATATTAATCCAAATCTGAAGTGGCTTCCCAAAACTCCTTATTAACTGGACCACACAAACAACGTCAATGTCGTTTCCACCGGCCACCAGGCGTCGCTAAAAAGCACTGGCTACAGTTTGCAAACGCAAACACAATTGGCAACCGTAACATATAATAACCATAATAAATAATTAGCAACATAGTAATTAATAATGCAGCCTCTCCTCCCGCTTTTTGGTTTCATTAGCCACGCAAAATTCCCGATCCCGCACTAATTATGTTTTTAATTACTATCGTTTGGAATCTAATTATTTTACTAATTACCATAATTGGCGAGTTGGCATATAGTACTGAGTCAACTCGATCGATCGGTGCTCGCTCCATCCAATTGTCGCGCGCTGAAAAAAAAATTCCTCTTCTACATTCATAATAACTAATATATTGTTGTTAATAAATGATTTACTGGAAATATTCCCCGAGCATGCATGCAACAGAATTCTGGCGGTTTATAAGTTATTGATTTCCTGCGGAAATGGATGTACGATTTTTGGTATATTTGGTTATTCTAATTTCTACACAAATAAATAAATAAATTCGCGTTGGAATTATTATTATGTTATGTAGTAGCTATAGGCCTATAGCTAGCTAGCTAGCTACTGTTCTTGTTTCGGCAAATGAACATCTTCCTAATCAGGATTGATCAGTTGACTTTTAGGCTAATTCGGTGGATTTATTAATACAAATCTCATAATGGGTTGAAATTTTTCGAATCAAGATCACTTGTACAATCGAAATCATTTACTAATGATGGTGCAGAATATGAAATAATATATATATATATATATATATATATATATATATATATATATATAGGAAATTTCAAATATATATTGTGATTTTTAAATAAACTCATAAATGAAATAACGAGTTAGAAGATGTTTTAAGTCAGCTTGGATAATCTCATTAGATCCTAAATCTCTTTTCTTCATATGTGAAATATGGGTACTTAACTTCAGCGTTATAGTTTAGTTTCGAGAAAGAGAGAAATTTTCCGGTCGGTCTTCATTTGTAGGAAACATGTGTAACTATTAGGACATTAAAAGCGAGAATTATAAAAAAAAAAGTTACTCAATATTAAGCAACCAAATTTGAAGTAAACGATAAATCGAGATGTCTTTCTTTCCTTCGGTCAATTAACCTCCATATCAATCAGCTTACTATAGACATATTGTATTCAACTTAATTATTTTGAGAGTGCTTAATGATAGATTATATCAATGGTAACATGCATGTAACTTCCTAGTGAAATTGGCTTACTGGCCTAAATATATATGTGGAGGCAAGGCATTTCTCTGTCAATCTCAAAAGCTTTTCGAGACACTGAAATATTTGTCGTTAATTAGAGATATTTTTGTCCCGGTGAATAATTAGAGATGTTGCATATAGTACATATATATAATACAAGAAAACTGACGTAGAAAAAACATTACGTAGCTTGAAAATTGTGGCGTAGGGTTGCCACTTGCCAGGCTTATTTCTTTTTCTTCACCTTTTTTTGGACATGGATTAGCTAGGAAACATGTGACTCGTATCTTATATATTTACATGTAGAATACTTTTGTTTATCAATTTTAACGATCCTTGACACTAAGTAGGGTTTTCTTAGTCCAGTAACTAAGTCATTTAAGATTACGATCATATAATCACGTCGAGATTAAGAAAAAAATTAATACATCTTTTTTTATTTTGGAGAATAACATGAAGAAAATAGTAATAATACTATAATAGTATCACATCCGTATTAAGATAGATATAGATAATTGAACATAAATAGGCTCTAATTTATGTACTCAACTTTTGGATATGGTTTCTTCATTATTATTTTTTTTTTCAATGTTGAATTGACAAATGATTCTTCTAGTACAAATTTTTGGGTCAAACACTCATAATAAGATTTCTCCGTATTAAATAAATAGTTGGTGAATCGTATAAAACTCAATGTTTTCTTTTGTTTCCTCCTGCCTGATTAATTAACATGGTATCAAATCTCTAAGAGTCTCGCGTTTTAATTATGAAAACTCTTTATATCAATGACTACGTTAAACATATGATATATGACAGACTTATACAAACTCTATGTTTATATTGATTTTTGTTTGAAAGGAACATCTAAGATTATATTCACTATTAAAACTCAAACAAATTTAATTTTAACGAGATAAACTGATTTCCTGGAGGACCCACTAATGAATAAACATTATAAGAACAATGTACATGAATAAATTCTCAGCTTCTAAAGATTGAGCACTGCTCTTGAAAAGGAACGTAAAAATGAATATATGTAATTAGAATTTAGAACTATAAAAAGAAACAAAAACAAAAAAATAGGGTAGCTAGAAAGTAATATAGATGAGAGCTTTGTACGTAGGCAATAAGGTTAGGGTAGGGAGGGAAAAATTGGGCGTATAATTGCTAAATATGGCTTTATAGGCAGACAAAAGGCATCCCTTTTCCATTTTCCTTTTAGTTTTCGCGATTATTTTGTTTTCTTTTTTCCCCTTCCTCGGTTTGTGGCAAAGCTTCGAGGTTCGTTCTCGCACTCTCTTTCAATTCCTTTATCTTTCATTTTCTTTTCTTTTTTCCTCTCTTGCAATATAATTTTTTGCATGCTTTGAATATATATTGGATGATCGATGGATGATGAGACACCGTTCCATTTGGTGTGTTTGTTTCTGTTCACATATTGCCGTTTATGTGGGCACAAAGGCTTAACTAGTCAGCAACCTTTAAGTGTTTGGAGGACATCGGTCATTATACTTTTAATACGTGACAAATGAATCGTTACTTAGTCATAAATTGGCTGGTTAGACCAATTCCATCGTTTAATGTCTCGCGCGACCTATCATCGGCTCCAACTGTTCCTAACCGCCCACGATCATTCAGTGCACTCACTTTTTTTGGTGCATTCAGTGCACTCACCTCTAAAAGTGGTCATAATACATTAAATTTTGAAATTTAATGGGTTGTATTAGTCTAATATGATGATATAACATAGAATCCCAACTAATCAACCCATTACCCTAACCTATTAACCTTCAATTTTGAATCTCAACCCAAAATCCCAAATTGTAAACCCTAACCCTAAATTCCTAAACCCTGAATCATTCAAATTAAAGTGAATCTTTAATGATTTTTGTACAAATTCATGTGGTTCTTGTTCATCATACCACAGGTGATGATTGACATCGTTTTCACATGAATTGCCTGCTTAGAATGACGATTATGAGGCGGGTGCATTGAATGCACCCAAAAAAGTGAGTGCACCGAAGACATAACCATATATATATATATATATATATATATATATATATATATATATATATATATATATATATATATATATATATATATATGGCAAATGCTAACGTATGTCCGGACGTACCCTAGCCTACCGTACGCCCGTTTGAATTTTGCTATTTAGATTATGAATTAACCGGAGTTTTGAGCATGATACTATACCCTAAACACTAATGGATAAACCCCAATCCCTAGTTTTCTAACCCAAACCATGAGATTCGTTTAATCTTAAAATGAAAATCAACAATAATTTTGACGAATCAGAACCGTTCATTTTCATTTCAAGATTAAATGAATATTATGCTTTGGGTTTGAAAACTAGTGACTGGGGTTTATCCATTAGTGGTTAGGGTCAATGCAGTCAAAATCGCGCTTTAAAACTTAAAAGCTTACGATTTTACGCTTTTAGTTCACCAAAACGCTTCTGTTTCCACGTAAAATCTTTAAAGAATAAATCGCACTAAATGCGCTCTAAAGCTTAAAAGCTTTCCCTTGTACGCTTCTAGTTCACAAAAATGCTTTACGCTTTTACACTTCTAGTTCACTAAATGGGTATTCTATTCATGAAATTAATTATATATTTTAAAGGTAAATTACCAACACTGTGATACTTTAAAGATACATACTAGGTATTTGGATGCATTCTTAGTTTCAATAGAGTAATCTAATTCACCAGCTAAAACCTTCCCAAATTCATTGCAGGTATTTATTAACTTATCTAAATTTTGTTTGAGCACTCATATTTTATATAGGATATGTCGTACTTAACATATATTTAGCTATTTTACAGTATGCGTAAAAAACTTACGCTTTTACGCTTTGATTCTACGCTTTATGATTTTACCCCTTTCCCGCTTCTAATTAGAATCGCGCTTTTGACTGCATTGGTTAGGGTATAGTATCATGCACAAAACTCCGATTAATTCATTATCTAAATAACAAAACTCAAACGGGCGTACGGTAGTCTAACGTACGCCCGGGAGTACGATAGCCTGAACCATATATATATATATATATATGGGTGGGTGGGTGGACGAGAATATGTGTTCGCTGATGAGAACTTGCATTTTAGCACTTTGAATTATTTTCATTTTATTATTATTCGGATTATTGGGGAATAATTGAGAGATCGGGTAGTAGTAGGGAATTAGCCATTTTTTATATAAACTACTTGTACGTGGGATTAGGGGAGTAGGCAAAGATTATAACCTAAATCCTAATTCTCAATCTCTCTCTTCATCTCTCCCAATTCAGCCGACCCCCTCTCTCCTTTCCCTTTCCCTCGGCAGCCTATTGTCGCCCCTCCTCTCTTCTTTCTTTCTCTCGCCCAATGAACTTCCTTTCCCCTTCCTTTTTTCTTTGACACCAGAGATCAATCCCTAGTTGATCTTCCCCAATCACAATCCCTAGATAGAACCCAATCTACCGGGCTCTAACATTTGGTATTAGAGCCCCGTTCTTGATTAAGGTCCGACGAACAGGATGGTACTGACGAAATCTATGACGACTGCTGAGAAGGCTGCCCAAGCCGTGCAGGAGAAGGCGGTCGCGGGAGGAGCTGCAAGTCAGGCTGGTGATGGATAAGAGATGGTGACTGCGGCGACTGTGCCGCCGAAGCCAACCCAGGCCACCACCGCGCTGGCCAAAATGACGCAGTCAAGGCTTCCACCACCGGCGGCCAGCAGAGGACGCCAGGAGGGCGTGGTGGAGGACGTGACGGAGGAGGAGGACCTTCGCAATATCTTGAAAAAAGTGTTGGTCGCACAGAAGCGGGATCAGGAAGCTCGTCAGGCAGACTCTCAGGAGATTTGGCGGGCTATTCGGAATCAGGAAGCACGTCAGGCAGACTCGCAGGAGGTTTGGAAGGCTATTGTCGAGCTGAGAGAGTTCGTGATGCAGCGACAGGGGCAACTGCCGAGCCAGGAGGAGCTGCGCGGTGCCGGCGGTGACCGAGCCGGCGGGGCGATGGTGGACGACGAGGGTGCAGGGGTCGTGGTTGCTGAGGAAGCGGCGGTGTCCGCGGGATCTTCACTGGCTGGGGGCGGCGGCGCGGCGCCGGCTGGGGTGACGCGGCCAAGGTTTGGCTCGTCCGGGCCCAACATCGAAGCAGGCATGTTACCCACCCCCACGACCCAAGAGCTGGCGGACCGCAATGGTAAGGCCAAGATGCCTGGCTACAACACAGACGGGCCTCTGACGACTGATGGGCTGGAGACGGTCGGGAGATTTGCGAGGGATGGCAATGGGCTTGGATGGCTGGGCCTCGATGATGAGGCCGAAGATGACGGGCTCAGCTTGGTGGACCGACGGGCCGACCCAGTCGTGGACCAGAGGAGTGGCGGATCGGGCCGGACGGTTGACCTAACCGGCCGGATGGGGTCTGCTCCTATGGAGCCGACCGAGACTGGGGGGACCGAACCGAGTCAACCCGAAGGCGGGAGGACCGAGGCGGGTCAAATCGAAGGTGGGCGGACCAAACCAGGTCGTGCCGGAGTGGGTCGAACTGGGCATGGATGGACCAATTTGGGTCGGCCCAAGGTGGGTCAAACCGGGCATCGACCCAACCCAACTCACCAGCCCCCGGGTAGAGCGTACAGCAAGAGGTCCGCGTGCTAGAGAGGGCCATATGGAGCGCCAGAAGCCCCGAGATGGTACCAGGACCAACAGGGCGGCTATCAGGGGTACTACGGACCTGGGAACCCGAACCAAGGGCAGGGATTCTCGCACGGGCAGCCATGGAGAACATCGGGTGAGGACAGGTATGGTTCGTACTACCATACTTATGAGGGAATTGATGGCATAGTTTTTCGAGTTAAGCCTCCCACCATTGAGTTTCCAAAATTCAATGGGAAAGAGGACGCAGTTCTTTGGTTGTATGAGCGGTGGTTGAAAAACCACCCGATTCTAGAGGAGAGGAAAGCTTACCTGGCATCCTTCTACTTGGAGGGTGACGCGCTACAGTGGTGGGAATGGATGAAGAGATCCTACAAGACAGTGATGACCTTGATCACCTGGCCCATTTTTCAGGAGGAGCTCAGGTATCAGTTCAGGAAATAAGAAGGGTGGGCACCAGAGCAGCTCGCGAAGCTAAAACAGACCGGCACGGTGGCCGACTATCGCGCTAAGTTCTTCAAGCTGGGTAACCAGTGCAGGGGAGTGCCAGAGGATACACTGGCAGGGTTGTGCATGGCGGGCCTCAATCCCGAGATAGCGGTGGCCGTCAGAGTGTTCGAGTCGGATTCTCTGAAAGCTGTTTTTCGTCTTGCATGTCACAAAGAGGAAGAACTTGCCAGTTGGAGGAGCACCACCATTGGCCGTTATCTGAGGCCAAGCGCGCGCGCGGGGGGGGGGGGGGGTGGAAGCAGTGGAGCTGGTGGCGATGGCGGCAGCGGGGGAGGATTTGCGGCGGGCCATGCCTCCGGAGCTAATACCGAGAGTGGGAATGCGACATCGGTGGCAAGAGTGGGGCCGCGGGCCATACCCAAGCCTTCTAATTTCGAATGGGTTTCGAAGATAAATTTTTTTATCGTTTTGTAACTCTAGTTAAGGTAAATTCCTGAACTCATTCTTATTTTTTTATGGCTTATTCTTTTATCTTTCGTAAAGGGTTCGTGCGACTATCACCGGCTGAGATTGAACAAAAGATGCGGGAGGGTAAGTGCTTCAACTGCGATGGCCGATTCACCATTGGCCATCAATGCCCGAAGCCGGACTTGATGATGCTCGTCGGACGCTGGGAAGACGAAGCCGAGGATGCCACTGAGGACGTCGGAAATGGCGAAGAGGAGAACCAGTGAGCTGGGAAGAACAACCTTGAGGACAAGATTGCTTTTTGAAGAAAGCGGGGATGATGAGAACTTGCATTTTAGTACTTTTAATTATTGTCGTTTTATTGGGGAATAATTGATAGATCGGGTAGTATTAGGGAATTAGTCATTTTTTATATAAACTACTTGTACGTGTGATTAGGGGAGTAAGCAAAGATTATAACCTAAATCCTAATTCTCAATCTCTCTCTTCCTCTCTCCCAATTCAGCCGACCCCCTCTCTCCTTTCCCTCGGCAGCCTACTGCCGCCCCTCCTCTCTTCTTTCTTCCTCTCGCCCAATCAACTTCCTTTCCCCTTCCTCTTTTCTGTGACACCAGAGATCAATCCCTAGTTGATCTTCCCCAATCACAATCCCTAGATAGAACCCAATCTACCGGGCTCTATCATTTGCTAGCTTAAGTTCCAAGTTAATTATAATCACAATCCCTAGATAGAACCCAATCTACCGGGCTCTATCATTTGCTAGCTTAAGTTCCAAGTTAATTATAAGAGCGTTCAACTGCTAAACAATCACGTGTGATGATTGATCATTCACTCCTCTTTCATTTCCCGCTCGAGATCGAGGATGCATGTCCCTCCATGACGACGAATGAAGTTCACGAAGAACACACCGCCCGACCAGAAATTGCTTACGATCAAGACCGAGATAAATCGACGTTGTTTACGTTGTGCATATATATTAACTCTACTATTCATTCAATAGAATATGCCACAACTATCATCAACCCACGAAGAGTTTATGCTAGAACGTAACTATCATCTTGGAAAAGCTGGCAAAGTGAACAAAATTCCAAGCCTTCCAATAACATGAAACCCTAATAACATTCTATTATTAATTCGCTAGCCAGATCAAGTGGAGTTGTCGTCAACATCTACATACGTTATTATTTTCCTCAATTTGATTATCGCCATCATCAACATGCCTCTGCCCACTGAGACCTAGAAACAGCTAGGTTTGTACCAATTAATGGTGGATTCTTGGAACCGAATTTGCTGGTCTCACTAAAAATCTACGATATAATAGTATTTAAGATCAGAGAATTAATTAAGCCTGTACCTTAATTATATCTCTCCTTTACGTACGTAGTCGTAGTAGTAAAACTTGATCAATCATGATTCGTGAGTGAAAGATATATTTAGTGATGATGACAGACAACGTTGATGGATGTCGGGATTCTCTTTTAGCCATAAGGACGTAATTGTGTGAACAATATTAGTGTTTAGAGAGAGAGAGAGAGAGAGACCCAATCATGTTTTGTTCTTCGAAAGTGATTTTCTTTTTTTTTTGCTTTGCTTCCTCCTTAAGCCATTTTCATCATCGCTCTCTATCTATCAATTTGGCCCTCCAAAATCTTTTCTTCCCTATCCGATCCTTACCAGTCACTGTCGTGTAGTGTCCAATAATTCCATACCTAATTTGTAATTCATGCCCTCCATTATAATTAGCATCCTCTGTTTTTCCCCATTTGGGTCAAGTGAGGTATAGCTATATGGCGGTGCTGCTTACATTTCATCATGTGGTTGTATATTAAGTTATGAATTAGTTTCAATAAGTCATCTATCTCAATAATTCGAGTTGTGGGGAGAAATTTAATTATGATTTACTAACATACTCCTTCAAACGAAAGTCGATTCATATGGTGCTTAAAATTTGCATTGACCTGAATACGATATGCGGGCTTATCAAAGGTGGTCGTCGGGATTCGAACATAGGCTCTGATATCATGAAAGAGTAAACGATTACAGATTATTGTTCAATTCGCAAGCGTTACTTTTGTCAAGAACCAGTTAGTTTCTATAACTCGAGTTGTTGGGAGAAGATTATTATGGATCTTATACCACTCTCTTACACGTCCCGTCAAACGAAAGTCAACTCACGGGTTTAAAGTTTGCACATGCCCACCATAACTTGTACTTAGCGGCGGATCTAGGGGGCCGCCCCGGGCCACGACTCAGCCCTCCCCAGATCTAGAGCCAGTATACCACTTGTAACTTTTTTTTTTTATTTTAGGTATACATTTCCGTGCTTATTGGGGTTACTGCCCAGCTCTCTCGGCCTCTTTTCAAATGTGGCGCAGTGCTCTTCCCTATCCTGGATCCACTGCTGCTTGTACTTTAACCAATTGTTAATATTGGGGTTATGGAGATTCGAACGTGCGACCAATTGACCAAACCAACTCCAATACCACGTCAAGTATCAATTAGTCCCAACAACTCGGATTGTTTGAAGATTATTATTGATCTTATACTACTCTTTCAACTCGGTAGAACCCAAATACAGTTTTCGACATTGGAATGTCTCATCTACTGCGTCGCTTTTCAAGCAGGATTGAGCTTATGGTTCTAAGTTTTACAGCATGCCTTGGGTTTGTGGTTGAACCAGAGCACCCAATTTGGGATAGGATTATTCAATGAAAAGGGTACGTTCGTTGTCTGTGTAGTACGAGAGGACTGGATTACACTACGAGAAAAGTGGCCTTTGGCAACACTCGAAATGTGTTGCAAGAAGTGCCGAAAGTGTTGCATATGAATTATGCAACACTTTTAGTAGTGTCCTCTATAGGTGGTGTTGTATAAAGTAATAGGTAACACTTTCGACACTTTTTGCAACAACAAAAATGTGTTGCATAAGTATACTTTATATGCAACACAATTTTACATATACAACACAAGTTTAGGCAACACTCCCATAAACATACGCAACAGTTTTTGACATGTATACCTAACATGTATAAACTTTATTTGTAACAGGATTCTGTCACAAAAGATGTACTCAATTGTGACAACCTTTTGAGCGTAACAAATACAATACACTCGAGTTTGTGTCATCACCACATGTATTTCAATATTAACAATTTTTAGTCATCACAAAATGATTCAGTTTTTTGTCGTATTTTTATCACAAAAGGATTTCTGTAACAACTATTGTCATCACACAATACAACAATGGTGTGGATTTGACTCGACACAAATACATTTTTTACATAAATTAGTCACATATATCTCATTTAGTAACAAAAATACACTCATAAAATGTTAACGAAGAGTCATGCACGCAGTTCTTCTAACTGATTCTGATCCAGTCTCGTCGGAATCATTTGCTTCATCTATCGATTGGGATCGTATCTCATCACTGTCAGAAGTCATGGATTAGGCTTGTTGTTCTTGAGTTTCCCTTACCCTTTCGGTCGAGTACACAATATGACTGGAGCTCATGATACCTATCAAAACAAAATTCATTGTTATAAGGGACAAACCATAAGAGTGATCGCTTTAATTAGTTAATGTGTATTCTCGGAAGAAGAGCACGAAGAATAGAACTCTGAAAATAATATTTGTTTTAGGAAGAAGAGTTGTTCAAACCCTAATTAACGGGACGCCAACACTAACAAAAAACTTCATTCGAGAGAGCATTGTACCTGAGATTGACGGCAACGAGATGGCATCTAGGAACAGGATATGACGATAGAAGAGAAGTAGGGTTTTCCAGGAGAAGGATTTCGACAGGTGAAGGGTTTCTTATTGAATGAGAAAGATTGGATTAATAGTAGTGAACTTTATGTTGATTTAGAATAAAGATTTATTTAGAATAAGAAGAGTTGATATCTTTTTATGGTTTGGGAGATTTTCAAAGAGCTTTTTTTGCGGAAGAGTTATTGCATTTAAGTACTTAAGGAATAAGGAAGAAAGAATATTACCTCCAATTAATTTCCGAAAAAAATACAGTGAGTCAAGTTTATAATTTGGGAATGGCGGTGTTTTTTGTTTTCCCTCCATCCTCGTTAAAGTTTATCGACGCTGGCTTCTCCAATTATATATCAGTATCACGGCAACCCTATCATTTTCGAGATATGGGTGATCCTGTGGGCAGTGAAAAAGGGTTAATAGTATTGAATAGTAATAAAGGTATAAAGAGGTTCGTTACTTTGTAGTGGAGGTTCTTTTACGTTTTGTTCTTCAATTGTAGTGAGAGTTCAAGTTAATTTAAACTCATATACTTAATTAATATAATATAAAATTGGTACAAGTTGTAACATTTTTTTATTAAGTGTTGTCTAAAATATAAGAATAGGTAACACAAGTTATTTTATTGTACAAGTGTTGCATATTATTAACAATATGCAACAAAAATTATCGTGCTACTGATTTGTGTTGCATAAGATATATATTATACGACACAAAATAAAAGTGTTGCCTATATTTATTTTATGTAACGCCTTTTAAAAGTGTTGCAGGACAAATGTTGCGTAAAGCCACTTTTCCCGTAGTGTTAGGATGGCGGGTGGCAGGGAGATATAGCTACGATGTCAGTCAAAGTAATTAGGCAGTTAGGCTCAAGGTTGAGATGGATCTTGGGTTTGGATAGAGGTCCGAGGTTGGAGTTAGGTTTAGGGTCAAAGTCGAGGTCAAATTAAGTTGGGAGTGTAGTTTGAGGTTTGCTGTCGCGAGGTCAAGGATCAAGTTTGAGGGTTACATCCACAGCCCACAGGGCCGGCCAAAACTTTGTTAGTGTCAAACTCAGATGGCCTACAGAACAGGGATATCCTAAATATAAGGCTAAGTGAGTCCAAAATTATATAACTAATCAAAAGTGGAACTTTTTGATGATGGGATTGGGGGTTTTTGAAATTGGTTAATTAGGTTGATAATTCTTGGCTGAAATTTGAATTTAAATATATAATCTGAATCGTTACATATTTTCCTTCAATCCTTAAGCTTGTAGAGGTGATTGGGAGAAAGAGAGTCTACGCAAGACAAATGTGCATCGAATGACATTTGGAGATAAGCAAGAACACTAGTGTGCCTCGTCTCATCTCTATTCTTTCTCTAATTTCTGAAAACAAAAAAATTTATTTTAAAGTTTTGGATATCTTTCAATGTCTAATTATTAATAGAATAAAAGTTGATGATCCCAAGTGGATTTATTTCAAACACACAACAACAAAAAAATAATATCAAAGACATGATAAATGAGACATTCGAACAAACTTATTCCAGAAAGAAAAAAAAAGTATATACTTAGATAAATATCAAATTTACGAATACCAAACATTGTGACATTTCGCATGTTGCGCGCGCTAGAAATTCGGAAGGTTATCTCCTACACTACACCATCTAGAATAATAATGGTGAGGTTGATGATAAGGGCGGAGGAGGAGAAGGAGGAGAGTGAAGAAGTGGAAACCAATGAAAGGCTGGCCTTTTCATGGTGGCGTAGTAAATGGGCCCGCGGGCCCATTTCTCCATTCCGATATCCCAATTCCATTTCCACCCTTTTCCCTCCTATAAATACCCGCCTTCCCCCCTTCTCCTCTCCTTCCCATGTCCACTTGACCATCCACCTCTCCATTAAAAAAAAAACTCTCCCCCTCCTCCAAACAAACAAACAAAAATTACTTCACCTTAATCACAATCTTCCCTCCACTAATCCTTCCCGCCGCACCGCAGCCAGCGGTCTCCCAGAGACCTCTGTCGCTTGCCGTGTGTCAGCTTTTGGCTCTCACAAGAGGTAATTAATAATTAATCTATTAATCATCCACCTCTTCGCCTAATCACCATCATCACATCATTATCATTTTATCACTCTCTATCGTACACATACTAATCTCTCCTTAATCATGCAGGGTTTGAACTTTGAACACATTGACCGCCGCACCGATGTCATCTTCTCTAAGCAGAAGCTTTGGCGGCTTATCCGCCTCCCTCAACGAAGAGGTGATGGTGACCTCTCAAAAGCAGGGGATCATCTCCCTCCTCCCTACCGGCTGCTCGTCACCGGCTCCTCCTCCGCCGCCATTATCCCTCCGCCGGACTCTCTCCGCCGACATGTCCTCCAACGCCTGGCTCAACCGCAACTCCTCCTCCTCCGCTGCCACGCTCAAGAAAATCGCCTCCTCCAACGAGCTCCGCCTAGCGGCGGACGAGCCGCAGCAGCGAGATCCGGATCAGGATCAGGCGGCGGCGGGACTGTTTGATACCTGGAGCGCGATTATGTCGGCTCAGAAGGGGAAAGAAGACGACGGCGGCGACAATCCTCCTCCGCCGTACATCCACCCTCTCGTCAGGCAGTCGAAGAGCTGTCTCAGCGAGAAGAGCCTCGAGATCTGCACCGAGAGCCTCGGATCCGAGACCGGATGCGACGGGTTTTCGTCCTACCCGGGATCCGAGTCCGGGGACAACGAAGAGGAAGTGGAAGCGGCGGCTGTGGAGGAAGCGGCAGAAGAGAACAGAGCGGATCCTCCGCCGGTGGTGGCGGCGGCGCAGAAATTCGACATAGAGGAAGAGGATATCCGAATCGCGAAGCTCAACGCCGGGAATCTACCGATCTGCGGCGTCATGAAGAAGTCCCCGCCTAGGTCGTTCCCTCCGCCGATCACTTCCTTGTCCCGCGGCGCGGCGACGGGGAGCCTCCTCATGAGGCCGCATCGCGACAATGGGAGGCTGGTCCTCGAAGCCGTCTCGTTCGCTTCTCAGAACAATTTCCGCGCTCAGCGCGAGGACGGCCGCCTCGTCCTCACTTTCGTTCCCGATCAGGAAGAGAAATCCGCTGAAATCGCTTCCGACGAGCAGCAATTCGAGGTCGAATTGGACAACTCGACTGAAACCCTAGAAACAGAGGAAGAAGAAGACGAATTTGAAATGGAAGAAGAAGAAGAAGAGGAAACAGAGGAAGTGGAATTTGTGAAGGAGGAACCGCCCAAGCTGACAAGTGGGCCGATGAGTGTACACAGGCTGGCAGTCATGATGAACAAGCCCATCTCCAGAAACCCAACTTGGCCCAAACAAGTGGCCCACCACGAGGCTAAAGAAGAAGCAGAGGTGGTGACGAAGGCGATCAACCATCCACTGACGCAGTCGCTCCCGCCGCGGCCGCCCAGATCGGCAGCGAAATCAGCGGCTACAAAGACGGCCGCAGCAGCTACCAACAACCCTTACGAGTGCTACTGGAAGTCATCCTCCAAGCTGCTGATGCCAACATCGGCAGTGGCGGTGGCGGCCGCGGCGGCAGAGCTGGTCGGTCCGATTACCCAAAACTCTGCACCAACCAAAAACGTCAACATCAACGACGCGACCAAAATCGCGCCACCGTCTTCCATGGAAAAGGGTCAGCTGCTGGAACAGCGACGGCAGGGGGAACTGGTGGTGAAGCGAGGAGGTGATCATTTCGTGCCATGGATTAAAGGCTGCAAGGAGCCTAGAAGGTCGCTATTGTTCTGGGAGCCTCATTGCATTGCCACTACCTGAACAACCACCATAAATTTTCCCACTTCCACCCCAAAAAACAAGAACCAGTCCGACTGAGCCATCGGGATGAACATAACTCAGCCAATTTGAGACGACGACCATTTTAACAAATCCATCAAAACCCATTATTATTATTATTACCACCATGATTATGATAATATTTAGTTATTTAATCCCCTACCCTGCCTTGTTTTCCATACTTTTCCCCTGCCTTTTGGGGAGGGTGTGTTGTGTAATCAAATAAATGAAAAATAATATAATTAATAAGTATGTGAGGAAAAGGGGAAGGGAGGTGCTAGAGAGGGAATATATACTTCTTTGATTTTTTAGAAGATCAAAGGGAAGGAAAGGAAGGAAAAAAAAATACTGGAGGGAGAAGAAACAGAGAGAGGAAGGTGATGAAACACCTCTGTTTTTTTTTTTTTTTTTTTTTGCATTGAGTCTGTCAGGTTTTGCTATTCTAATGATAAAATTTTTATCAGCAAGCACTAGTGCTGTTGTTTACTAACACCAACTGAAGAAAAATCTTTGTCTCTGTTCGTTAGTGTTAATTACTCTTTTGGGTGTGTTTAGTGTTTAATCTCATACTTCTCTGTTCATAATATATAAATATGGAATTATTATGAATGTGGGAATATGTAAAGGTGGTTTTGCTTTAGATCTTTGTCCTTTTCATTTTTGCTTTTGAGGGGTTTGCCTTTTTCTGTGAAAAATTCTCTCCACCAATGGGGTGCTAGAGATTGGGTTGTATTGTCTTGTCTAGCCACTGGGAATGGGGGACATCATGATTCTGCTTTGATTTGGGATGTCCTTTGTTGTTGTGGGTTAGGTTAGGCCCTAGGGTTGGTCACTACTCACTGATTTTTGGTTCAAAAGTAATACTCACTTCATGAAAAATATATAATTAAATAACTTACGTTTAAAATAGTCGAGGTCCAGGACCGCACCGGACAGAGTATAATGCGCTCCAGTTCCTGGTTCACATGAATTTTACAATTATTGAAGAAATGATGGACCGAGCTGATATTTGGACCGGACTGAACCGGACCAAATGGACAGAACGCAACGATTGTTCGGTCCTTGGTTCTAAGATGCCTTTCACTAATGGACCGCGATTCTAATGAGTTTGGTCTAGTTTGAACCGGACCGAACCATTGCACACCCCTACCTATAACGGTAATAAAAATAACATAAATAATTAAAAATAATATAATTATATTTATGGTTGTACCACTACAATTCAAGGTTACTACGGTGTTAAGCCCCACTATAGGGAACAAGCTAACTCATCAAAAAGGATTTGATAAATTTGGGTTCGAACCTGACTTATCATTATGTAAGTTGATCGCTAAGTTGTTTATTGTTGCAGATATTAATTACTTATTCCAAGTAATTAATTTCTTGTCCTCCAAATCACTTGTTTTTTTTGTCCATGTAAAAGTCTAAAAGAAGGAACCTTGGTTGTCATTAAGGTTTTAGCTCTATGTTTATCTCTATATAAGGTTTAGCTACGGTCCTGTTGTAAACAAGTCGCCACAATGTAGTCCTATAATAAAATCTTCAGCCGTGAGCTCTTTCGAGCTCACCGTGGATTAGTCTCGTCCAATCAAGAACGAGGATACCACCTAAAATCATTTGTGTTGTGTGTTCTTTCAATTCCACGTCATCAAACTCTTCATGGTATCAAAGCAACTACCATTGCTTAAGGAACTCTTTACTTACCATCTCGGAAATAGGAAGGTTGGGAGAATGGTTGGTAAGAGCTCGTCTAGTCAAAGGAATTTTGTAGGGTTGAAAATCATATGGTTATACCTTGTGTTAGTAGTGGAGAGTGATTGCTTTGTTATAGCTGCCATCATTCTGTTCCATCCAGACTCTGTTTCCAACGGGATTTCCGTAACTCGGCTTCCATCTTGAAGCTAATACAGTTGTCACCACCCAGGAGTAAGTTGCAACCCACTCGTTATATAGATATAGACGTAGCTAATATAGTATTTAAAGAAGTGGTTAAGCACAATACATGGGCCTGTATAAGATCCAACATAACCTTTCTCCCAACAACTCTAGTTATTGGGAGCAATTGGTTCATGGCATGGTATCAGAGCTGGTTTGTCATTGACGTCACATGTTCAAGTCCTCACGACCCCCCAATAATAACCGTTATCTTTCAAGCACATGGTAAGGTTGGGCCTGTGCAAACTTCAAGCCCATGAGTCGGCTTTCGTTTGAGGGAGGCGCGTAAGGAAGTGGTTAAGCACCATACACGGACCTGTATAAGATCCAGCATAACCTTTCTCCCAACAACTCGAGTTATTGGGACCAACTGGTTTATGACAGTATTTGGTCAAGAAGTCTAGTCATCATCGTGATCTAGTCATCCATATCAAGATCACGTAGAAAACAAGTCTTCACCAACATCAAAGTCATGATGTTGAAGACAATTGTGACCTGCAGTGGTCCTCTCTTCAATAGCTAGTGTTGGGGAGATAGAATAGCTTTTGTCGATAAAAATTGTCAAGTCATGGAACGAGGTAGTCACAACACAAGAAGTTGTCCACTTGACATTCAGCACTAGTCAATTTCATTCTTCACCATTATAATTTTCAAGCTGGGCATTCACGACGTTCATGCTTCAGCTCGAGGGGGAGAATAGGGAATCAACTCACATAAGTCGACTTGTTCAGTCATTAAGTCGAACGTGTGTATCTATCAATTATGTTGCTTGGAGAAGCACAGTCAACAGTGCGGTTAGAAGTCTCCGAAGTCAGCAACGCAGTAATCAGTCTCCAGTCCCATTCAAGATGTCAAGGTAATTTCGCTATGTGGAGTTCACTATTGCTGAACTAGGTCAAGCATGGAGTCGGATCAGTCTCATCCAAGATGTCAAGGAATTTCACCATGTTGATTTCACTGTCAAAAAAACTGGGTCAAGCATGGAGTAGTTTCATCATTTGTCTACCTCTCCGGCTCTCCCGCAAGTGAACAAAGTCACAGCCTGTTCGATTGTCAGTGCCAGCAAGAGGTTGTTTGAGTGTTGTTCAGTTTCAAACTCAACATTCTTGTCATTCATGTCTTCGCTTGAGCGGGAGTGTTGCAGATATTAATTACTTGGTCCAAGTAATAAATTCCTTGTCCTGCAAGTCCCTTGTTTCCTTGTCCATTTAAAAGAAGGAAACTTGGTATTTATTAGGGTTTTAACCCTATGTTTATCTCTATATCAGGTTTAGCTATGGTCCTATCGTAAGCAAGCTGTCACAATGTAGTCCCATAATAAAATCGTCAGCCGTGAGCTCTTTCGAGCTCACCGTGAAGTGAATTAGTCTTATTCAATCAAGAACGAGTATAACACGTAAAATCTTTTGTCTCGTGTGTTCTTTCAATTTCGCGTCATCAAATTCGGTCATTTATAAATGATTTGATCAATAATGTTAGTGATAATAAGCGGAATAAATATGTATGATATCAGACTAAATTATTTTTCTTTGCACCGCAACTACTAAATGATTTAGGATGATAATTTGTATTGTAGAAGCGAGTATATGAATTAATAATAGAAAATTATTGTTTGAGAAGAAGGGACACTTATAACATGGTGGACACAGGAAAAAATATGATTTTTTAATACGGAAAGTCACTAATCAATTATAAAAAAATATTATAATTTATTTGTAAAACTATATAGCTAAAGGTACGAAGTTAACGTGTTATTAAAAAATACTCGACGAAACTTCAAATAAAATTGTGATAAGTTGTAAGGTTTTTGTTTGTTATATGATTGGCCAGTTTAGGTGTGTGCAACGGTTACTCTTGAGAACCGCGGTCCAGTATTGAAAGACATTCTAGAACTAAAGATTGGATCATCATTGTGTCAGTTCATTTGGTTATGTTCGATCCGGTCCAAATATCATCTCAATCCATCAAGTATTCGGTAATTGTAAAATTCATGTGGACCAAGCACCGGAAGCATTATACCCCTACCGGTCATTATCTGTTTATTTATGCACATTACTCGAATTAGTTACACTTTACAATGGAATTCTATTTGCTTGCATCAAATCAATATCACAGAATTTGTCCTGCTGTCACTAAGACCAGTTTTTCCGCTCGAGTCTTTGTGGGCTGTAGACAACACATTCGGCCCAAGTTCCCGAATCAATGCAGCTAACTGGGCCGAGGAAGAATTATATCCGGTACCAAGCCCAGCCCAGCTGGAAAAAAAATCGATGTTCGCGGGTTATTTCCCCTCTTTTCTCCATCAGATCATCAAATAAGGAAACGCAGCGCACCAATACCTCAGCCAAAATCAAATAGCTCGATGGGAGAAGCCTCTCGCACCACCGCCTCGACGGCCGCCGTCGACGAGCATCTTCTGAAGAGCTTCTTCGCCGAAGTTAGCGAAGTCGAAAGGGATAACGAAGTCCTCAGGTCTCCCCTCAGCTCTTTCCTCCTCCTCTTCTTTGTCCCCTGATATTCCCTGTTTCTAGCCGAACTATTCATTTACAATTCAGTTGAAATTGATCACGCGGCTAGGGTTTCTGAGCTGCGTTCATGTCGATATGGTCAATAGCTCGTCAAAATTTTCAATTCTGATTGGCATTTGTATGCCGTATTCATATTTGTTTCTAGTTCTGGCCTTATCTGTGATGAAGTTAGGGGATTTTGAGCAGAGGATTTCTCAGCCATAGACGACTTCCACAGGCGGTCTTTGATGGCTGATGCTTTTTCGTGGTCATATTTCTCCAGTTTCATTGATTATAAATTTGGGTTCTTTCTTTGTGCAAATTGAGGTGTGTTCCTTTGCCCAAAGATGAGATGACAGTCTACTCTACGAACCAAGTTGCTCAATTTGATAACCTAAGGAGATCGATCACTAGTTTTCTAGAACTAATGATTTTTAGTCTATTGGCTTGCCTATTGCCTTCTCGCTAATTTGTTGTGTTTGGGAAATTTTGACTCTGCAGGATCCTTTCTTGCTTCAAGTTAAATCCATTTGAGCATCTAAACTTATCATTTGATTCCTCTCCAGATGATGTGAAAAAGCAGTATCGTAAGGTAATGTTCTTTCCTCCAATGGAAAGGCGGCCATCTTTAGCTTCATTTATTTACTATGATTTAACTTGTTGCATGTTATGGACCGTGCAGCTATCTTTACTGGTTCATCCTGACAAATGCAAGCATCCGAAGGCCCAAGAAGCTTTTGGTGGTATGTCTGCTACACTTCCTTTTTGTGTTGTTATCAGGATGACCTAAAGATAATTAAGTAACTTGGTTAGTTTTTTTAATCCTCCTAGTCTTGATATCGCCACGGTTTGCACGTCTGCTCTTTAAATTCAACGTAGAAAAATAGTTGAGGGTCTTGATCCCCAGTATTAGTTGATCGATTGGACACTCCCTATGAGATAGTAATTTCTCTAAACCTTGTTCCAATTAAGCCCATGCTTCTGTGACACTGGCTTATACCAAGGTTTCACCTTGTAGATATGGACTCAGGAAATCAGAAACTTTTCCAATATATTGTGATTTTTATACATGAAGTCAGAATTTGGAAACAAATTAAAAAGTTGATATGTGAGTCTCTTGGTTGATGACTCAAAGACATCACTCATTTTTGCAGCACATATCTAGTTTTCTGATTCAAAATCTTTTTCTATGCTTGTCCGCCGTAAGGGATAAGTAATGCAGCCAGTAAAGGATGAATGCCGACCCTTTCCTACTTGACCTGGTATTCTGTGGAGAAAATAACAGACAATATAATTGGCTCTCTAATCTAATAAACTACTATCAAATAAGCACAATAGTAGTTGATCTTAGAACTATTATGGTATCGTAACTTCTTGCTTCCGTTCATTTGACATCTAGAGTACTACTAATTGCTGCTGAATTTGATTTTTGGCTTGCAAACAGCATTGGCCAAAGCCCAAGAGCTATTACTTGATCAGCAGGAAAGAGATTATGTTCTCACCCAGGTACAAGCAGCCAAAGGTCAGTATTACTGTCTGATCTTTGGATAAGCTTTGCCCGGGCGGGTTGCATGCTTTGTGGTTCATTTTCATCATTAATATTTAATCGGGAGTTTGGTGTGTACTGCAGACGAACTTCGAGCGAAGAGGAGAAAGCAGATGAAGAAAGATGCTGCCAGCAAAGCAAAGTCGTTAGTCGATGAGGTGTGTAGCCTTTCTTAGGTTTGCATTCCTTTCTGATAGACCAGTTTCTTATTAAACCTTTCTAGGATCTGGTGATCTTTAGGGATGGCAAAAATATCCGTAACCGTGGATATCCACCCGAATCCGATCTAATCGGGTAGGGTAAAACCCGAACCCGAAGCATTTTTCGTGGGTACGGGTAAAACCCGAACCCGAATATTGCGGGTAATGGGTGGGCATGGTTATCTCACTATCCAACCCGAACCCGCCCGATTATACACATGCATATGTATTTTGTTTAGAAATAATCATTATTTTTCCCTAGAATATTTTATATTTAGCATAGAAATATAATATTTTCATGAAATTATGTTGTTTTAATTAATTTTCGTCATTCTAGTGAATTATTGTCGTACTTTTCCTCTTACGTAATGTGAATATACGTGTGAATGTTAACATATTGGTTGGAATTATAAGGTGAAATTATTACCCATGGATAACTGTGGATACCCGAAACCCGAACGGGTATGGGCATGGTTTTGATTTTCTACCCGTTTCTCGTGTGGGTACGGGTATGGGTAAAACCCGAAATACATTGGGTAGGGTAACGGATATGCACTATCCGCCCCCGACCCGACCCATTGCCATCCCTAGTGATCTTCCTCAGACTCTGACACATGCTGTTATTAGGTTTCTTTAGACTCGGCTTTCTTTGGTGCCATCAACTATATAATTCTGTTATTTGTGCAGGGGAAATACGAACAAGAATTTGAGAGGTCAGATGAGTTCCAGCAGCAGCTAAAACTGAAAGTTCGGGAAATATTGACGGACCAGGAGTGGAGGCGGCGAAAAATGCAGATGAGGGTACGCTGAACTGTTTTTCACCAACCAGTTGGTAATATTACATTGTTAAAAAAAAATCCTCATCGGATGATCCCTTTGCATCTTTTGTTGTCATTCAGATATCAGAAGAAGAAGGGAGAGTGAAGAAAGACGAGGAAGAGCAAAGAGAGATGTGGAAGAGGAAACGAGAGCACGAGGAGCAATGGGAAGGAACTAGAGAAAAAAGGGTTTGTCTTGTTTCCCTTTATTTACCTTGCAATGCTTACCATCTTCGTAGACTCCATGTTCATATTTTATTTCCACTGTTGACGAAAAGGTGTCGAGCTGGAGAGATTTCATGAAGACGGGGAAAAAGGTGTGTACAAATATCTCTGTTGATCTCTCTTGTCCATGTGTGGGTAATGGGAAAGGATAAAGAGGGTATTGTTGTATTTGTGCAGGGTAAGAAGGGAGAGATTCGCCCACCAAAGCTGAAGACAGAGGATCCCAACAAATCGTATGTTCAGAGACCGGTGAAGAAAGGCTGAGGCGGCGTGCTGAACCTGCCGAGGGAGGAATTGACGATGGCTGTCCTCTGCTGCTCGGACGGTGAAGAAATATGTACTTGTGTGTCACTTAAGCTATAGGAAGGCCATCCATTCCTTAACGATTTGAGCAGGCACTTTCATCTTTTCTTTTCCTTGCCCTTCCGCTATGCTCAACAGAGGTCAATTCAAAAGGATACCAAGTTGTAGTAATGTAATACACTAATTGTCAGACGTATGAAAAGGTTGTTTGTGAAGTTTATAGCCAGAGCTCGATACCAGAACCTCTTGAGCTATGTAAGTAGCCTGTGAAAACTGACACAAAGAATGACATGTATACCTTTAACCCTCAATGAGATAACTAATGGAAGTCTTTGCGCTTTTTGATTTTTCTGGTGCGTTACTGCAAAGTCATGATGTGAAGTCGAGCACATTAGCTTGGCCTGGATCAGTCTCTTGGGTTCATGACCTTCAAAGGGTAATTGTTTGATTGGGGCTCGAGGCACGACATTGGCTGTCATTTGAGATCTTGTGGTGGAGACTGCAGAAAGTTTGATGATACTAAAGACTCCAGTGCCTAATGCTGTAGATCTCAAAGCCTAGGCTGGTCTTGGCAGTCACGTAAGACGAGTGTCAACTTTGAGCCAAACACAACGAAACTGTACATGGCCGCATATTCAAATAGTGCTGCCAACTACAGGCTCTTGTATAGATAATCACTAAGCTTAGGCACAGAGGCTGTATGGTAGATGCAGGTCTTTCAGCGGTTAGAAGGTATCGTATCAACTGGTCGATATAATGCAGTATAACTAAGTCGCTAATAGCTTCCAATGCAATACGCAAACAATACTTCAGTTAAGAGATTAGAAGAGATGCAATGCAACACAATACACGGGAGATGCCCAAAATTGATCAGAGCCACCTGCAATTCCATGCTATAAGCTTCACCACGCATAATCCTACAATACAGTCACCAAAATTTACCACACAAGCATAGAAAATTACACAAATCACCTCTATGATACAAAGGGGAAACCTTCAATGGTGTTGAAAAGGGTTAACTATATATCTCGCCATCACATATGATATGAAGGACCTTTATCATTGCCCTCCTTTAGAAGGAAAAAATAATTGGCAAGAAAAATCTAGGCCTAATACAAGACAGCTCGGGAACTTCGAGAAAAATTATATGACAACTATTGAGAAGAATTCCCAACACCACTACTAACTCTCAAATTGGGAAAAGGAAAAAAACCAACTCTTGCAGACATTCTACCTGCTGTCTCTGGCTCGATATACAAATGGCGAGGGGCTACCCCCTTGAACTTGCATCTTCTACAACATATCAAGGAAACAACTGCCAGCGCCACCCACAGCTCTGTTCCTCTCCCTTGGAACTCGCATCGACCATTGCTAATCATCTTAGTCATCTCATGGCATTGCACAGTTTGACCAGTGAAACTGAAAAATTCACACAAGGCCTTCACAGACTTCTTTCAGCAACGATGGCCAACAAGTTCGAGATGTCTTCGAGCCAAGCTCTATACAGAGGCCAACCATAAACCCCATGGTGGTGGCACAAGCAACTGGAACACTTGGCAGGTGGTGTTTATATCCAATACAGTACTGTAAGCATCTAACTTATATCCAAGCGAGAGAGCCCCTGTCATTCGCTGCTTGAGGACGACCCCTAGTTGGTGTAGGGGGGCGGTTAGCATTCAACTCCTGCTTCCAAGAATAATTTCGGAATATGATAAGCATCGTCTAGAATATATTAGGAGAGCTAAAACTAGAAAGATCAGTAAGAATATGCATTGTCACCTGCATCCACGTATCTTCAATTTGATGTTCAGGCGAAGCATCTGGCGAAGATATGGCTGGTGGTAAAGGATGGATGAGTTTTGGAACCACCACGAGATCTCTTCCCAAAACAAGGATTGCCCCGGCATTATTTGCAGTGCCTGCATCAAAATGAAAATTCGATATCTCGTGAACATGTCGTGTTGAGTCGAGTCATCCATGGAGATTGAAATATTGAACAAGTTCAAGAAACACACCACAATAATTTGTGGCAGAGAAAAGTGTGATGAGATGCCCTTGTGCAAAACGTTCAAAGCCGTCCATAACGCACTCATGCGCACGTACAATCAACTGAAGATCATTGTTACTGCAGAACTCCATGACTCGATCAGGCTGCAGTTACCACTCAGTGGTCAGAATAACATCTATAAATTCCACCGAACAATTTCAATCTGCGGGGACAAATACGGAGAAAGCAGGGTACAGATAAAGAAATAGCAGAAGACTGGGCGATGCATCTAGTTTCAAAATGTTGGAAAAAGGTTCGCTTATCAACAAACTTGTGCATTATTGTTTAATCCTGGAACGAGAACTAAGAAAATGTATGGAGACTAATATAAACCATTATGGCAAAGCGATAAAAACAGGCTCTTTTCTGGAAAAGAGGCTAAGCCAAATAAGATTGTAATGTAAAGTAAATTAAGGGCGAGTTCACTTCAGCACTTTTAAATATAATCTATTCTTAAACACATCTTTAAGCATCTTCACTTCACTCTACAGCGATTTATCTTTAAGCAAAACTAGAACGAGCACACCCTATTTGTCTGCAATGCATCATAGTACTCACCCCAAAGGTAACCAACCCAGGGCCTCTGGCATTCGGTCTCAATCCCTCCACGCTGTCATTTTCAGTTGGGTCAGACCTAATGCAGAGAATTGAACCCATTAGTCAACTGATCAGAAGACAAGATAATAAAATCCAACATCATAAACAAGGAAACAGAACAACTAAGATACAAGCACAAACCATAATAAATCCATGAGCACTATCGAGCCCGCTTCCATGGTAATAGGACGCTGAATGTTCTCGATCTGTTCGACGTGATTTATTGAGCGACCTATACCGCCATGCATACAAATGATTTTCTTCTCGATCAGTGCAGCCAAAGGAAGCCAATTGAATAAACGATTGATCCGATGCCAAACCCATATTCCGTCTCTCTCACCCTGGTTCAGTAATCCATTTAATTAAAAGCTAATAACCAATGGATAAAGAGGAGGGAGGTAATGTCTTCGGCACAATACCATTCGTTCAATGCACTCAATCCTGAAGCCAAAAAGGGCATTGATATCTGCAGCTTCATGGTTCCCACGAATTAAATGCACGTTGTTTGGATATTCAACCTACAAAAGGATCTTGTCAGACAAAATAACAGAAGGAACAAGAAAAGGAAGCCAAGGGGCCACTAAACGCCATCATACCTTCAAAGCAAGCAACAGACTAATTGTCTCCAGGCTGTGCTGACCACGATCAACATAATCTCCTAAAAAGAGATAATCGATGTATCTGACAGACACGAAATATATAAATAACATAAGATATCACATGCTCACAAAACGAATAGGATTAGCATTAGTTGTTCAAGAAAAATATCCCTACTTGTACATCAATATCCTGCTGCAAATACAGAGGATATGTACATCCAGAGATGCTAGGTCAACTAGCTCCTACACTCCAGACATTCCAACTTCCAACACAGACAAACTTGTGGTATGACCCTGAAGGGATACAACCACACATGCTATTCACATAAGCTACTTCAAGCTTATCTGTTTTTCTACAAACATGATGAAATCAACAATATCAACTTGTACGACAACATCATGTCCAAATGCTCATCTGGAGCTCACACAAACTGTACAAGTACCTTCTCTTTCTTCCCTCTTTTAATCCTTTTGATTTGTATTATATCATCATTGAACAAGCATCCTCGCTACCATTGCTGACTACAACACAGCAGTACTCCCAACAGAATAGGTAGTCCAATTCAGTATTATAAAAGTCCCGTAGACGAGTCCACATAAAATCATTCCATCAGTCTAGAAGTGTCGTTTTAGAAGACCATAGTACCTCATAGAACTGAATCAGCTAATTTTTCAGCTTCCTTTCCTTGTTTACTAACTTATCCAATATCTTAAAGAGTTTACCGTGGAGTAATTCAAAACAGTACAAATTTGGACACAGGCTCTCCATGGTTCTTATCCATTTGGGTACAAACATAATACATGAGTCTGTTAAAAATGACAATTCTCCTAGATAAAATCCACAGAAAAATGACAAACTATTCTTGAATGGAAAAGAAAGAAGTAACAAATAAAAGCACTTACGCAATGTCACCGGCAGTTGAAGGGGCGCCAAATTCGTCAAATAGACGCATAAGATCACCAAATTGTCCATGCAAATCACCAAATATCTTGATCGGAGCTCTAAGTTGCAAAACACTTGGCTCGCTAGAAAATATTCTTTCAGCGCTGTCGCATAAATCTGCTATCTCATTGCAATCTAAGAAGAACTGGCGACGAACTGGGGGCTTCCAGCCACGAGGCTTTAGAAGATGTGCAATGACCTGGGACCAATAAAATGGTACATATATTGCATTATTAAAATTGGGAATTCTTCTACTGAAAACAAGGGCATTCTACAAGTCCCATAAACACAACACACTGCCACCAGAACAAAAGCACATAGGCAACCCCAATGAAACATTGCAGGAATTGAAAAGAAATCAACATGTGCAAACAAACCCAAGGAACTAAAAATAATAATAATCCTTGTATGTTAAGTCATAAGTGGATACAAACTATAGTGATGAAATAACTTTGACTGGGTCTTTATTTGCAATACCAAGTGAGAAAAAGATGTTTTACGTAAAATTCTTTTAGTTCAAGCCAATGATAATGATATCAAACCAGATTTCCAACATTGCTTACTTCTTCAAAACAAGGAGAAGGCACCGTTTTGATTGGAACAAGAAGCCACAAAATTAGTGAAGCCAAACCCACCTAGTAGTCAGGTGTTTCCAACTCTCACAAGGATGTTCCAGTTTCCATAAAGTCAAACAGAAGTTTGTATAATTCATCAAAAGTAAAACCTAGCACAGAGCCCGCAGTATGTTATAGCAATCACTTCAGATATTTCCGGTTACCATTTCCCAACACATTTATTTAAGATGAAAACAACTAGCAGAGCATTATAGAGCTATCTAAAATTTTATCAAATTAAAATTTCATGAAACAATATCTCTATACCTTTTTGGGCACACTGTTGATAGACATCTGTCTGTCCAACAATTTCCTCGATGCAGTTGCACTCTCAGGAGTCCCGTAGCTTACCCTTCTGCCTTCATTTTCAAATTGATCAATGGAAAGTTGTCTAACCATGCCACCTAAAGCCCCACCAGTCTCAGCAGCTATAACTACCTGGTAGCACATTATATATGAAAATCAAATGAAATAAAATCCAATCTCCTAACAGTTTAAATTATGCAAAAATTAGCATGAGCTCAAACTCAATGCACTAATGTAGAATTTACACTGACCGCTCTGTGATGTAACCGAACTCCAGGAGGAATGCTATTTGATCCAGTGGAATCAGGTTTAATCATCGATAACTGTTTGCCACTAGGGGTAGCCTCTGCAGTACGCTCCCTATCTGGCAATTCGACTTCTCCGTTCGATTGTCGAGCCTTAGCAGCGGCCAAAGTTGCAGTGATAGCCTCAGCTTCTGCTGCTGATGCTTCGACTAAATATTCCACACCTTTGGACGTTCTCCTGTACACCAATGCACATCCATTAGGCCGTTCAATTATCAAGGGGCACAGTCATACACTTGTGATGCCAAGACCACATTAAATAGCTAGCTGCCTTACCGTGTTCCTTGAAGAATGGCATTCTCTGTGCTTATATCAGTGTACATATCACCATTTACAGGGGGAGCGACAGGGTTCCCTAGGACAACAGAACCATCTGCTGATGCTTCAGACATTGTTTGCCTCCTACTTTCGTCGATAAACCCGTACCTTCCAGCCATCCTCACTCCTGGTACATTAGATGCAGCAGCTGCAGCTGCGGCTTGGGAAGCTGCACTAGTTGTCTCAGCAGCAGCAAGATCTTCAGCAACCAGTAGATCATCAAGCAAAACCCCTAAAACCATTAAAGAAAATTTAATCACATGATCAGCATTCAGAATAACCAAGACATTCTACCAGACATAATCATACATAGCTTCCATAAAAAACCTTATTTACCCTCCCCAAGTAGCCAAAAAATCACGTTTAGCACAAAACAAACCACTCGGGCAAGTCCTTCCGAATTCTTCACTATTTAATACACACTAACAATGACAAAAGTTCTTCATCCGTTCATAGTAACAAGGGTATGATACTCATGGTAATTAAAAAAACCTTCATCTCCTTGACATGGAATTTCAGACAAAAAACGGTCATGTCAATCCATGTTCACTTTATTCCCCTTCCGTTACAACTCATTCCTGTGTGGTTGAAGACCAAAAGCTTCACCATAAATCTCAATGGCGAACCAAAATTGAAAAGGTAATTACCAAGTTACTTCTCACTGGAAAGAAACAGAGAAAAAACAGCCAGTATTGCCTAATAAGTTCCGCCCCTTACCACCACGTAAACCACCATAAATGAAGATCAAGTCACCAACTGCAGCAGCAGCATGTCTGCAGCGTCTTGTTAACTCAACTGCCGCATCTCCACCAGCAGCATCAGCACTATATCTGCCAGTCCTTGGACTAGTAATCACAGATTTCGTATCACACCAAACTCCTGCTGCAGTATCCAGCACTACAAGCAAAAGAACATAAGATGCTTGAGAACAAATGTAGTATTATTAAGAAAGCTCACCAAGTGTTCCTCAGCAGTCAAAAGCTATCTACATAGAGTGCCAATGTAGTGAAGACGGACCATCTCAAGAAGCACGTGGCTAGTTTCCCAGGCACACCTCATCTTATAGATTAACAAAAACAACGATCAAATTGCATACCAGCAATACTTGATGAATCCTCTACCATGCGACCTCCACCAAGAGCCCCTCCCGACACGTGAAGTCTTGCGTTGACAAAAACCTTGTATAAGAGATTCCTAGGTTAGTTTTTCATCTTTTAAACCAGATAGTCAAATGAAATAACATTAGAGTAACCCACAGCTGCATGTTGGTATCTAGAAGATGGAGAAACACCAGGAGCAATCGCCCATTCCCAGCGGCCATCCCTATGTTTGGCAAGTCCATATGCACTTGCTAATGGCTGTAAGTTACACAAAAGACAATAATTTGAATAAAGATTAACCAAACCTCAAAGTGCAAGCAAAACATCCCCTCCAATTCACATAAGTGCATTGTAACACACAAAAAATGAAAGAAGATAAAGGAAATTACAATAAGTAGCTGAATCAGTAATCTGCTTTTACGGAAATACAACTCCAATCATGACACACCTATAAATACTACCAAGCAGATAAACAGATCCAGGAAGAAAAAATTAATGAAGAAAAAATTGCCATCAATAGTTTCACAATAGTCCAATCCTGCCCAACAAAAAAAATCAGAGGAAATGAAAGCCAGAAGTAAAGACTTCCAAACAATTAGTGGAAATAAAAAAGGCATAATAGTTCCTTCGACATCGAGACAGGAGTTAACAACCTGGCCTGGCATCTTCTCAATTTCAGGAATACGAAGAAAAGCTTTCCAAAGTATAGTGATCAATAACAAATATAAGATAATAATGAAGGTGAGATCCGCTCAAATTCCCAGATAAATATACAGGGAACGCATTTCAAGCACCAAATCACTACTTATAGGCAAGAAACAACAAAAACTGGAAGAAGAGGCAAAACTGGCCATTTAAGGTATATTTTCATTTAAGATGCAAGATGCATGTATGAACTATCAAATCTGTAACCTTGCATATGTGATGTACAACTAATTAAGCTTCCAAAAACCAGCCACCACTTTTCATAATTAGGTATTAACCGAGTCCCGGCTATCTAATTCAATGTGGGCCCATCACGGGGGAAAAAGTCATAATATCTCGAAATAATTGCACGAAATGCATTAAATGACTCTGTCACTCATACATGGCAACCAAACACCACACCCGTATTGTAAACAAAGAAATCAAAGATAAGGCTGAACTATACTAACCACACTGTTTGCATCTCTCCCTCCACAGAGCAGCAGAAGACCGTCTGAACGAGCACTTGCAGTAGCATACCTAGTCAGACAAACACAAACACAAGAATAGCGTGCCATGATAAGCTAAATCAAGAGAATACTAGGAAAAGCTAAAAGTAAAGATAGTAAACTTTAAAGGACCACAAAATTGTTAGATTTGTTTCTGTGGCTTGTATAGTGAATAATACCATAATACATAAATATTTTGTCAAAATAAAGTTAAAAATACTTCTGCCGCTTCTATTAATGTGAAAACCTTGCAGAATATGGTCCTATAGGTAAGTTTTTTATTTTTATCGTGATTTTATTTGCGTTCTAGATGTCATTGCACTCATTTCAGTTTCCCATTGTGTTCACATGATCAAAATGTATCTTGATCCATAGCCAACAAATATTAGACTATTAGACCTTAACGACTGAACCCCTTTCTACTAATTAACTAATGAATGTGAGTTGACTCATACATGAGGATCTTATTAGGCTAGTACAATGCACAGAATCTCAAATCAAATGAATGAGAGGTTACCAGATTCCAAATAAAAAAAAATAAAAAAAAGGAAATGACCGATAGCTCAAACTATCCTTGATATCTGTTAAATCACATTTTAATTTGAAAAAATAATGGAATTTCGGCATCCAGAGAAGTTATCATAATTACTTAAGAACACTCTTAACTGTTTTCCTACAAAAGAAAATCTCTCCTAACTAAGACCTTTTTGCTACACATGAACAATTCTCTGCAATCAGGCAAGTTCGAATTGTTGGAGGAAGAACTCCACCATTGCCAACAAAGAAGCAAAAACCTCGGCAAGTTCTAAATTCTACAACAAGCTGCCAACCGTGCTAAATACAGACAATAAGTCATATTGCACAAGAAAATTGGATATATGTTGCTCTTGTCATATGCACAGGTGATTAAACAGTGGAAGACTTTTACATGCATGGTGGTGGACCTTCCCCTTCCGGCTCCAGCTTCCGCCACTCATAAGGCTTGGCTGCTGTGTCAAGGGCCCATACATCCGACAAAGGCCTTTTACCTGAAAAGGGAGAAGAATGTTAAGCAAATGAATCCTGCCAAGAAGGAAATGTTTTAGGTGTCATAAACTTAGTAAATACACTCACCGTCATTCCCTCCAATTGCCATGAGATACCGTTGACCCACCAATGCCATCACATGGCCATATCGTGGCCCAGGACCAGGGCCTTGAACAACAACTCTACAATAGACGAGTAACCATTTCAATGGCAAATTCACATAGTAGAGAAAACTAATGAGCAACCACCCAGTAGAAAGTCCAACCTATGCCATCGTGGACGCTGTTGTGTGAGGTCAAGAACGTGAAGATCTTCAGCAGATAAACCAGCCGGACCAATTCCACCCTGAGTAGTATACAAGACTTTAGTTATGCATGACATACAAGGCTACCAAAATTATACTCCGTCCTCATGTTTTGCAGCAGGATAATATTTAATATACTGACCTGAATGACAACCATAGTTCCCACAGCAGTTGCCACATGAGCAGCCCTGGGTGTAGGTGGTTCTCCGATAGGTGCAATCCTGAGAATAAGCTTATAATAAGCATAAGAATGTGGCAGTAGGCAGAAGGATCCTTCTGATCATAATAAAACAATCACCGCAACGACAATGATTACCTCGACCATTTATTTGACAGAACATCATAACAATGAATATCAGCAGTGGCCCCCGACAATCCTGAAATCAAGGAAAACAAACCAGTGAAAACTTTGTCACTCAAAGACCTCAGAGGCCATAATCAACAATAGCCAGGGGGGAAAAAACAAGCTTGTTGGCACATTCTAAAGCAGGGATAACACTAAAATGTGATATGCATAAAACTAACAGCTTAGCTAAGTCTTAGTTAGATAAACGTGAGCTGAGCTCAAAGTATGGACAATGAATAGACAGTTAAAAACAAGTTCCCTATCGCGGTCAAGTGAGGAAGCATGTGAATGAAAATAGAATACAGTCTTAAAAAACTGCTATGAAAAGAGTCCTGAAAGCCAGACCCAGTAATGAAGGAATCAAAAAAGAAAACTTCACCAAAATCAATGGCCAGGCAAATCCACTTTCTAGCTTGCAAAATATGGCTAAGTTGATCGGAATGTTTTTGTCACAACTATACACGTAACCTCCTCTGCAGATGCTAGAATCACTATGGTAACTACACATGCAACCTTCCTATAGTATTAGACAATAACAAACCCATCCTCCAAGTATCGCCTCCCAAACAAATCAAAACTTTTGCGTTGACAACTTAATTTCCTATGCAAAGGCAGAGACAGATGAATTAACCGTAGGCCAGTGCACAATATTCCGTTCCCTAACACTACTCGACCTAATTCTGAATTTTCACAGCCTAAACCAGGGTTCTGCCTCATGTTTCTAAGAAGCCATGAAGAAGTCAACTGCAGAGATTGCCACCGGGGTGGACGGAACATGCAATGAAAACCGAAATGGAAAAACTTAACACAATCTCAATACATACGGATGCCAGCACCCCCAGCAGAGGAAGGAGTTCCCGTGGTCGCAGAATTTCCCTCTAGCCCCGTCGCACCACCAAACAAAATCAACCGCGGACCAACGTAGCCAGGCGACCCCTCTTCCCCAACGGCGGCGACGGCGGTCAAGGTGTGACCACACCTAGGCCCCGGGCCGTCTTCCTTCTTCTCTATAATAGCATTCACAACCGAGTACGTCGGTGCCGGCCTCGGGCCCACCACCGGGCTCTGCTGCTGCTGCTGCACCTGAACCTGCGCCGGTGCCAGCACCGCCGGCGAAGGAGAAGAGGACGTCGCCGCTGCGGTCGGAGATCCCACGGCCAGCGGGCTCTCCCTATCTATCACCGGTGGAGGAGGAGAAGCGCTTTGCAGCGCCGGCGGATCCTGATCGGGCTCCGACGACATCGACGAATCCACATCCATCGCGTTTCAAATCCCTAATTCGATCCCTAACTTCAAGATCGGAGCTGGAATTACGCCGAATCAGTATCATTAATCAACATTTCTTCCACGGGGAGGAAACGATTATCCGCCCAAACGCACCACCCCGCCCAGGAACGAAACCAGAAACCCTAGTTTGGATCAGTGAACTGTGGAGAATCCCGGAACATGGAAACAAAGCCGAAGCTCGTTCGCTTTTTTTCCCCGGGAAAGGAGAAAAGGCGAATTTTTTTCGAAAAGGGAGACGGAATACGAGAGAGAATTGAGATTAGGTTTTAGTGTTCGATCGAAGAAGAAGGAAGGAAGGAAAGAAGACAACGACGGGAAAACGGGACGGACTCAAATCTCCAAATGGAAAATAATAATACTTAGTAAAAAGGAAATTACGAAAATCCAGAAGAAAAAAAAAAGCCTTTAACTTCCTCTCTCTGCCAATCATCTGGACTTTCTCTCTCTAGAAACTTTACTATGTACCATTTTGGTCCTCCTCTCTCTTTCTCTCTCTACCATGCCTTTTTTTCGTCAGTAAATTAAATTTAAATTTGTTGCCTTAAGTTCATTTTACCAAAAAATGTTGATAATGCGCTGGCTTTTTTTTTTCTTTGTCCACCGGTATCGAAATGCGTACGTCGGCGGAACGCCGGCCGGCCGTGGACAATAAAATGGACGTCACAAATGGTCACCGGAATCTCCGCGAAGGGGAGAATACATTTAGGAGGGAAAGGGAGGGTCATTGCTAATCATCGTCCTAAAATTCCTTATTCATCGCCCTAATTAAATCAAATTTATTTTAATGTCCTTAGTTCTTTTACGTGACTTTCAAATATTTTTTGTTCATTGTCCCATATCTAGCCGGCGACCCGTCCGGCTCTGCAACAAAAAAAAAAAAAAAATCCACTGTTGTGGACCTTGTGGTGTTGGTCATCGGCTTCCTTCTGACGGTTACAACTGTGCCCCTTCTTCCCCACTCCACTTCCATTCCACTACTCCATTTCTCACCAACGAACCTACCGCCGGTCCTCCCTATTATTCGCCGCCATGAACTCCGACCAAACCTCCAATCTCGACGTGCCTTCAAGCAGAAACGCCTCCCGCGCTCCAAGGTCAGCAAGTCCCTCAAATCCATGGACCCGGCCTTTGAAACTTCCATCGGTTTTCTTTCGGGGTTTTGCAGACAAAGCAATTCAGAGCATTGTTTAGGAAGCTCCATGGTTCACGTCTAGTCACAGAATCTGGGGGAGGGACTTGCTAGCGGCAAATTTGGTTGGGAAGGAATTGTTTGGTTTAGGGTTTAGGAAATAAATTGTGTTGAGGGTAAATATATCAATTTGGTGTGTTTTAGGGCGATAAAATTAGAATTTTAGGGCGACGAATAGCGATTCAGTTATAGTTTTCTTCTTTTGGGTAAACTGCCACTTTGGTCATTCAGTTCTAGTATGGTGTTGATTTCAATCCCAAATTCAACTGTTTTTTTCCCCTCTTTGATACCACCAACTTAAGCATATTTGGAACACTTCAAGTTCTTATCTTGTTCTTGAGAGTGAATGGCTCCTCAGTTACAATTCATCAAGGTTAAAATGTGAGAGACTGAAAATTCATCTTTTTCCATCGTTTAAACTAGTTTTGCTTTCTTCAATTTAAACTGGCTATCACTTCGTTAAAAATCGATGTTAATCGGGTGATTCATTTTGTTGCATTTCAACGTAATAATATCTCTTTCTACAAAATATTTTGATATGGTGCATCAATAACAATCATATTGATTCTCTTACTTTGGTACCTATTTTCAATTATTTAAAGGGATATGCCATTTCATTTCATTCGTATAGCATGTATATTTTATTTTATGATACGTAATGAATAAATATTTGCACTTGCTTTGAACGAATTGGATTGATATTTTGAGTTCACATAGGCAACAATGTGTAATATAATCTAACCAATTGTGCTTTTACCATAGTGGTTATCTTCATGTCTTTCATCTTTTAGGATACTTCTATAGGTTGCTCCTATTTTGTTTCGATTCCGGGTTAACAAAAGTTATACTTCCTCGTATTTCATAAATCAAAGCTATATATTTTTTTTAAATGGGACAAAACCATACGACCTCATAAATCATAATATTAGTACATTGAGGGGGATGAAACTCAAATCATGTCACACATAATGAACATCCATATTTGATGTGAAGTGGAATGTATTGGAACCTAAAAATCTATACGAGGCCAAGCAGTCCATCAAGAAACTACTTTTTTCTACTTAGATGCGAGATGTGAACGGTCCAATAACACGAGGTGAGACTATGAAACTTCAAAATAAGGGTGACATGTTGATGAGTATGTTTGATGTTAACAATAATAGAAGTGATATCACAATTGTCGAATCCAACCACCATCCCAACTGAAGACCCTCAACAACCTTCCTAAATCTCCACACGAAAAACAGAACAAACAACTCTCCACATTGATGTTGTAGGCTCCAAACAAGTGACCTTGTCAATCTCTAACCATGTCTCCAATATCTCCCTACCCGGTCAATGCTACAAATCGATGTCAGTCTCCACCCATATCCTTCAAGCTATTGAAGCACCAAGTTGAGCACCTTCCTTCCTTTTCTTTTTAAATTTGTTCTGCCTTCTCTCTTCCTCAGTTTCCCTTTTATGATTCCGGGGGGCTGCCACCGGTCACCTAACCCTGTTTTTTCTTTCTTTTTCATGCTTTATCTCTCTTGCCTGTGTTCTGGGTAGTTTTCAATCGGATTTCCAGTCGTTGTTGCCTTCGGTTTTATCCTTTCCAGTCGAGTTATGGCTCTTCTTTCAAATCTTGGTTCTCTATTCTCGGGCTTGCTCGTTGTAGGAGCCGGAGTCTGCAATTTGGGCGATTTTTCCATATCTATATGGTGGGGTTGTTCCACGTTGGTGGCCTCATCTTCAAGGTGAAGCCATTCTCTGCTTTCCCCCTGTGACCTCCCCAGGTCTTTGTGTGGCTTGGTGAGCCATCGGATTGTGGTGGGTAGGGTCTTCCACGATGGGTGCGGTTGAGAATCAGTGTTTTTTATTGGAGATTTATGGCTACCTTGGGAGTTTCTGCTATGCTTCGAACCTGTTCTCTCTGCCTCATGAGCTTGGAGCAATCTGGTTTATATCCTCCTCCACCGCCATGCAATCTAGTTTCTGGATTCACTATGATGGATGCCTTTGAGTTATCCCCAGGAGGCGGCACATGGCTTGATGATTATCACTTGCCATGGATTTCGATACACGATCGGACAAGCTGATCTTGATTTTGTTGCACTATGATTGGTTGTTTGCAAGAGAGATTCTTGATGATCTGATTTCGGTCAAGGTTTTTGCTCTTTTTGGGTGGTTTCTTGCAGACTGTGTTGTGTTCTTTGTTGCTGCATTTGGTTTGACATAGTTTGACTGTAACCGAGTGTCCTAGGACTTCCTCTTCTAGGAACCAGATTGTTGGTTCTTTGTCCCTCTTTGTAACTGATTAGTTAAAGTACAATAAAATCTCCCTTTGTTAAAAAACAAAAAAAAAAAGTTGAGCACCTTCTTTGTGAGAGAAGAGATGGTGTGGAATCTCCAAGACAAAGACACATGGGAGCAAGTGATATTCCAGCTAGCTAACGACTTTGCGGCTCCCTTTCCTTCCTAAATGTATTCTCCCCCCAGTCACATTATCATGTTTCCATCCTCTACCTTTTCCCTATCCAAAGGAGGCCCAAATTCATACCTTTCAATAGAATAATCTCCTTGAAAATGTCATTTTCTTCTGAGCAAAAAAATCGTTCGTCTTTTCAAAGGTAGACCTCTTCTCCGTTAGCTCTCATCGCCGTTACCCAGGTTGCAGGGAATCATCAGTAAATCAGACGGCAACACAAACTAAAAAACAAACAGAAACCGTTGAGATGTCAACCGGAGAATGTTTTGGGTGCTTGTCCTATATTGTTTTATAGGTTGATATGTTCCCCGTCCTGAATACAAACTCGGACAAGGCCGGCAATACATACATCACAAAACTAATATTACGCCGTCTTCGCCGGACCTGTATTGAGAGGCTTCTGGTAGACTCTCACCACCGGCATCCCATCCACGTCGTCGGTCTTCGTCCGCCACGACCGATCCTTCTTCCTCTGAGGCTTCTTGTGCTGCTTGAACGATTCCTTCAACTTCTTCTTCTCCGCGCCTTTCCTCGACGCGATCCCATTCTCTACGTCGAAGGAGTTCAAATCGTCCAGCACGTGCTCCATTGCCGGTGCCGGATGCTTCCCTACTCCTTCCTCGATGTCCGATGAGTCCGACTCAGCCAACTCAGACCCGCTATCATCAGCATCGGCATCTGAATCGACATCCTCGTCAGTAGACATTCCAGGTGGCATCTCAAAATGAGGCAGCTTCCCGTCTATATAATCCTTCAGAATCTGACGTGCAGCCTTGGTCTCATCAGGCAGTCCACTGGAAGCAACATACCCTCGAGACGCACAGTAAGCTCGGAGAAGTTCGGATGCCAATGGGGGTCGAGACTGAGACTCGTACGACTTTGGCTTCGGCAGGGTTATCCGGTAGACATCCTCGATGACATGTCGTGGGACACGGTTCGCAACCACCTGGACAGCCTCCCTGTGCTCGGTCATCCGGTCGATTGGCAGCACTCCTGAGGAGATCATTTCGTATTTGGAGCTTGAGAAGGAAGGGAACACTAGACCGGGGCAGTCGCACAGGGTGAGCTCCTCCGACATTATCAGCGTCTGGAAATGTTTAGTTTTCCCAGGGGTCGATGTCACGCCGGTTCGCTTCTGTCCGACTAGGGCATTGATCGTTGAACTCTTGCCGACATTGGGGTACCCAACGAAGCCCACCGTCACAGTTTTAGCGGGGGAGTTGTTTCTGTTCCTCCTCGAAACTATGGCTTCTGCCTCGGACTGCAGACGAGATAGAAGCTCTTCCCTGCCATATATTTTGGTATCGGCATCATCAGGCTGTTCTTGACCAGTGGGTCCGGTCAGCTTTTTACCCTCGAGAAGTGCAGTTGCGGCCTTGGCTGACCAGAATAGGAAGAGGATATCGTGTTGCCGGAAGTACTCAGCCCATTTCTTTCTGCAGTGGGGAACGAGAGTCGAAGTTTGTGAGAGGTGGGAGATGGAAAAATGTAATTATGAGAAAACATGTTTTGAAAGTAGCTGACCTGACAGAGAAGGGCAAAAGATCGGCTTTGTTTACAAGGAGCAGTGTGCTCTTATGCTCATCGATTTCTCGTGCATATTCCTGTATGAACATGAGAATCTTTTAGTTTCCTTCATAGACCATCTAACAACTTTAGCCTCTTCGACTATCTGGGAGAATCCTACTTCACTTCTTAGACAACAAAATTTAATAAGAAAGACAATCCATACCTCGAGATCAGGACAACGATAGAACAAAGGGTCTCGTGCATCAACAACCATCACAAGCTGCAAAGAATATAATTATGCAATCAAAACTTCAGTTGAAATTTTCATATCGTCATCAAAAGACTGAATCAGGAGCAGTCCAAAACATAGCAGTTAACAAGGCTTTGCAATTTCGAAGATATCGCTCAGAAGCAAACTGGAAAGAACTGAAGAGCACGGCGAACCACCAAAAAAATCCACGGAAACAGAAATTTCAGGATACAAATTACTGTAATACAGATGTCTAAGACACAGGAATTTGTTTGAAACTCTGTTTAGCATGATAGCCCCATTTGTTATTTTTAATGTCTTGGACCTGATGCATAACTTCAGATTAGTCTGATCATTTGACTAACTTCATGAGAATAGCTCATAGGATTCGCAGCAACAGGGGTTTGTGTTTCACCTTCAGAGCGATAGGAGTTCATCTACTATCTGATTCTAGTTTCATGGTATAGCTGTGAACCTCTGTGCTCCTCGGCTAGTTGAAACCAATTTATCTTTCACGGATATAGGAGAATTGAAACAGAAAGACACAGATAACATATAATACAACTAGCCGGCAAGAAAAAAACTATATGAATCAAAACAGATAGCTACTATCTGATTCTAATTTCATGATTTAGCTGTGAATATTTGTGCTCCTCAGCTAGTTGAAACCACTTTAACTTTCATAGATATAGGAGAATTGAAACAGAAAGACACAAATAACATATAAGAGAGACAGCCCAAGAAAATAAATGAAATTTGCTATTCATTCCATCTTCAAAAGTGGATATGAACCAAAACAGATAGCTTACAAGATCATTGCGCTCAAGCACCCGCCAAAGTTGTCTCCAGATATCCAGATTCTTTTCAAATGGCGTGAGAACAAGGTTCTCATTCTCCTCTAGGCTGAAACCATCCCATGCAAACTATAAGAACTTAATGGAACTCCCCTATATAAAGTCTTACAGACGCCCAAAATTCAGGAACAGAAATATTTTTAGACATTCAGACTATATTAATATTTCAGATGCATTCTATTTACAGTTTAACAATTGATGATAAACCCTGGTATTGGTTATCACAGACAAGACAGCCTGAGTTTATCAGTCCTAAGAGAATACACCAACACCATAAAACTGACGACATCCAAAAGTTCTCCCATAAATTTATCAGGAGCCAGTGACATCCATGTCAAAACTTATCACATATGTTTATAGGCAGGGTGGACAAATAGTCATTTGTGTACTTGCTAGACTCGGAACTCAATACCAGGTCACCTCCAAACCTTAGACCATCATATTACATGACTAAGGACGCCGAAATCCTTAGCAAAGCAGCCCACGCTGATGTTCAAGCTATACATGCATCATACTAAGCAACAAGATTCAGCCTGAAGTTCGATTCCATATGAACAGGAAACAGGTGCAAGCATTTGACTACCAATTACAAATAGATTACAACCCAAATGCTAACAGGAAATCCTAGCTCGGGACATCCACAAACTTGCTTCCCCGTTTCTTATTCAAGTTCACATATACTGGTTAGCAAACTGAAACAATCACTTCACCGCAATTGCCAAATTCCAAAATGAAGATTTAATGGAGAATTGAACAAACCTTGCAAGGCTTCGTCGCCAGATTAGGAAAGCTTGTCTTTCATTAGTATCAAGTACCTCCACCGACATCTCAGGGTTCCAAGCTGGCCTATTGGAGTTAGCAGCACACCACCATAATCAAAATACAAGCAAACCAATATTATCATAACAAACACAAACAAGGAGGGTTGGCTCCAGTTGTTCATACCTGCGAGGAACTCGTAGGCTATTAGCATGCAAAGACTCCGCTTCCTTCTGCTGCGCCCTTCTCTCCTCCGGCGTCATAGCACTCGAACTCGACGGCCCATCCCTATCCAAAACATACCAGAAACCCTGATTGATTATTCCTCGCACGAAAAGCAAAACTTAAGAGGAGCTGCGGGAAGCTAGAGGTTCGGTTTTGATAGAACTCACAGACTGATGGGGCGATTGGGGGCGGGACGTTCCCCGGCGAGGAGAAGACGCTCTTCCTCTTCCGCCTGCCCGATTACGGCGTCGACGTCGTTCACGTCGGTGATGGATTCGAGAACCTTGTTCTGCTGCCGGTAGAATCGACCTTTCTCCTTGGATTGAATGATCATCTGGTTGTGGTGCTTCACCAGCGCTCTCCCCAACCCAGTCTTGCCGTCGTTCTTCCCCATTTTCTCCGGTAGGGATTTGCACAGGCGAGCGAGAGCGTATCTCTTCTGTGTAAATAGGCGGTGTTTCGTGTACAAGTTTGAAACGGCGGTTGAGCTTAGGAAAAGGGTTTTGGACTGGTCGGAAAATTATGCGTCGGCCACTCGTTTTGGGTGGAGCACCACCAGCGGCCACGCCAGAAAGTATCTAGTCTCTGTAGTTTTTGAATTTACGGATAAGTCCCTAGATCTTTTTTTATAGTGAAAGTAGGTCCATAGATCTCGACAAAAGCAGTAGATTGGCATGGGAAGCCCAATTAAACTGGGCCGAGCCCATGTAAAACCCAAACCAGAAGCCCAATAAAACGAAAAATAATAAAATGAAACAAACCCGAAATTCGGATAACAAACTTGGGAACCAGGCGAAAACCAGGGCTTTTGCAAGTTTCTGCTATCCGCCATTGTTACTGCCTGCCTTCCTTCACCCACACATTGCGTATAGTTTCTGTTTTCCTCTTGTAGTCTCCCAAATCGAACATTCCTTCCTTCGCTCGATTTGAAAAGGCGAGAAAATATATAACGTCAATGTGTTCCTCGCTCATCGCCAGCTGATGTTCCGTCTTCCGTGAACCCCTTTCTGCAATTTCTGGCAGTATGGGAGCTCAGAAGAGCATCCATGCAGGCAAAGGTCAGTATTCCCATCTCCACCTCACGTAAACTTACCACTGCTGTCCACGAATTCACATTAAGCAATGAAATCTTGATGCCCTTGTCCTGAAAAATGGATGTTCGATTGCGAATTTGTTTTCTTATGGAGTTACAGCTAAATTGCTAAGTATGTGGATTTCTTTTGTTGTGTGCGATGGCAGCCAAGATTGACGTGAATGTTGATTTAACTCACAAGCTATGTACCTCTTTGATGCTCCTCCCTCCTATTCCTATCAGGTCCTTTTACCGTCTTCGTTTCCTTTCCCACACCCGTTAGACAAGAGTTTGAACTTAAAGTCCGAACCTCTGCTTCTTATCTGTTTTGTAGGGACGGTGGGAGTCCTCTGTCACTGGTTATTGGAAGGTGGGTGTGTCTCAAATTCTCTTTTCACGATCTCATATCTGGTGTTGCCAGTTGAATTGTCAATTAAAGGAGATGACTTTTGTACCTTCTAAGTGCCGTATAGTTTTGCTTGGTTAAGCCAAAAAAAAGACAATGACAGATTATACAAACCATGGATTATTGATTGACCATATTTGGGTTTTGTTTTGCAGTCTTTGCATCAAGCACCCTAATTTATTTGGGGGAAGTGAGAAGCTGGATGTGTCATGGGACAAAGGACTTTATGATTCAACCGTTTTAGTGGCTTATAGGAGGCCAAGACCAGAATGGCTTCCTCAACAATGCTTTGTCCTTCAGGTAAGTGGATAGGTTTGGAAATCTAGTAGCTGAAGTTGTGTATGGTTATTCAATCTGCCTATGCGAACTAGATTAAGTCTAATTGTCAGCTTGAAGTGCTAACTGCCGAGTGTATAACTTTTCCTAAATTCAAATAGTCTTAGCTCTCTTATTTTTCCTATAACCTCCTGTCAGCATTCTGTTTCGCCTGAAATCGGGGTACATGGTACACCAGTTGACAATTTTTCTCGATCTGGGAGTGGAGGTGTGAATCTGTCCCGTTTATCACTCGGTGTTGATCTTAATGAGCCGGCGAGTTCTAACTGGACTAGCACAACAAGTATTAAATTTGAGGTCAGTTATGAGATAACTGCAGTGCGTTGATATTCCATTGTTGGAGCTTGTGTATCCTACTCACCCACTTTTTATCGTCTGATTGAAAATTTTATTCTCATGAGAATCGCAGCATGTCAACATACTAAGTGATGATGGCCGCTCTATTACTAGGGATATGGAGGGGTTTCCAGTGACTTGTAGGTAGGTAGCTGCATCTTCTATTTATCTGCATTTCACCTGGAATATCTGACACTAACCAATGAGTTTCTACTGAATACATTTGTTGCAGTGGCAGTACACATGACAGCATGGTAGTTCTTAAGCAAGAGTCTCGATATGCAAAGGCAACTAATGACAGTTTTTCTCGTGTAAAGAACTATACTGCTTGCTATTGGTCTTCCACTTCTTTCTCTCTTAGAATTCTTCATTTGTGTTTATTATGATAATTGTTCATTCTATGCAGTTCAGTATGCAAATAGAACAAGGGATTCCTGTTCTGTCCAAGTGGCTAATTTTCAATAAGTTCAAGTTTGTTGCAACAAAAGGTCTCAAACTTGGACCGGCATTTCTCGTTGCAAGGTGAGGCATAATTTAGTTTGTTTTCATTTCCATTTGTTGCTAGCTGGCGAAACAACCATGCGTATTGATAACTAGACGTTCTTGATTCCGGGTCTCGTGAAGTGGAAATACAAAAAAAAAAAAAAAAAACTTAAATTTAGTGTTCTGCTTATATTGATATTCCCTTTGATGGCAAACACTATGTGGCACTTCAAAGAATTCAGGCTCAATCACAATGAAAAGGTTAAATGCATAGGAAATTCAATATGGACCCTCTTTTATGTTCTTGAATTTCTACCAAGTGATTGATATATTGCTAGCATAGCCAAGCTAAGGAAATGACGTTGGCTTCAGATCTGCATGTTTCAATGTTCCTTATTGTGTCTTGAACAGTGGATTTAAAATGTTTTTCTTTTACTCTCATTTTGTTCTTGTACTATTCTAACCGTTTTCCTCTGACAGCCTGACAGGTGGTTCCATTGTAGGGGACATGGCTCCTTATCAAGCATTTGCAGTAGGCGGCCTTGGTAGTGTGCGAGGGTATGGTGAGGGTGCTGTTGGATCAGGAAGATCATGTCTGGTTGCTAATAGTGAATTGACATTGCCCTTGGTATGTCGCCTATATAATTTTCCACTTCCTCATATTGACTGTTTAGAAGGTTTCTCGACTCTACATAGAAAGGGATTTTATATTCAGAATGTTGCATATTTCTGATTCCTGGATTCGGTACTTTCTCAGGATAGGAAACTGAGAAGGCTTCGTTTTAGATTGCTTAAGTGTCATGATCTGCTCATGTCGGAACAGCTGTGGGCTTGCAATATACTTAATCAATTTCTTTGATCTTTCCTCCCTGAAATTTATGCTACTTCAACAGTAAGAAATAAAGCAGCAGTTTAATTTTTGCTGTTTGTGGCATGGTATTAAGAATTCGGGGAGACTGTCTTTCGTATGTCCATAATTAATTGAAAAAAGAAGATTGCAGCGTTGGTAGGCTCTATCAGTTCATTATTTTAAAACCCCCAAAATAGTGGAACGTACAAGAAAATCAAGGACATAGAAATGTATACCTGTTTTTCCTTCTTTATGGTTAGGACAATGAACAAATAAACGCTTGGAACGCATAGCAGTCCTTTTGTTAGTTTGTAGATCATAATGTTATAGCACTGATGAAAGTATGTCTTTTATGTGCCATCTTGAAGATTCAGCCTTTTCAAGCCTCTGTAGACGAGAAATGAACCCTGGAGTTAATCATATATCGGTTATTGCATAGTTAGATGTTGACATAACCTTCCCTGTTCTATCATGATGTTTCTCGTCTCGATAAGTTCCCACTCTGTTTCTGATGATCTGTTTTCTACCTGAGCATTATTGATATCTTGTTGAAGACTACTGAAAAATGTAGAATGAACATTCTGTGTTTGCATATGATCATCCTTGTTTCTTGTTCATTTGACGTAAACTGTAAAAGTACAATTCGTTCTGCAAATTACAAACTTATTTTTTTTTAACTTCAAACTATCCATGTTGCTGCTAACGCTGCATTTTTTACTGGGCTTCAGACTGAGACTTTGAATGGTGCTCTATTCTTGGACTGTGGATCCGATTTGGGATCTGGCCGCCTTGTACCTGGTGAGTTCCAACTCCAAACCATTTTCTTTGCTTGGAAAATGTCTCAACATGAAACCTTTTGACCTATCTGCTGTTTCTCACTGTTACATGATGTTTTTTCTTTTTATCTGGGCATATTCAGGAAACCCAGCACTGAGGCAAGGGAAACCCGGGTCTGGGACAGGGTTCGGTTATGGTCTTCGGTACAAGTCTCCTATCGGGCACTTGCAGATTGACTATGCTATGAACTCATTTAAGCAGAAAACTGTCTTCTTTGGCGTCAGCAACCTTGGTTTATGAATGTTCTTTGTTTCGCCAAGAAAAGCTGCTGCTTGCTGCATCGCTAACGCTTCTCCTGTCAGGTGTCCGTGAGATTCATAAAAGAAAGCACTGCAGGGCTCTGTCAACACCCGTTTTGCACCAGCATTGTCTTTAATTATTGTTTCATTTTTAGGGGCTTGCTGGTTTCGAGTATATACAATTGAGTTAGGCATTCATTAGTGAACTCTCATTTACTTGTAGTTGTTTCCCATGCACTATTTTGACAAGACATTTAGATCCTTATTGGGAAAGAACTGTTTTATCATCATTACAAACCACTTTTATCAGTTCCAATAAGAACTGATGCCAAATTTAGCCCTCGAAACTTCAATACAGCTGTGCAGGAGGCAGAGAGCCCCTAAACTTTGTGTGTTTTACGCAGGACGAGCCCTTGAACCTAGCAACTTTCTCCAAGCTTTACCATTCATGTCAAAGTCGATAGAATTTGTCTTTACGGTCAAACTATATATTAGATGGGAACATATTGTAAAGCTTAGGAATAAGAGGTACAAGTTTGTCGCATTAGTAAAGTTGGTGGCTTTAAGGTCAAACTCTATATAGATGGGATATTGGGGAAAAAAGGTTGCTGCCGTTTGATTTGCAGGCGAAAGGATTCCATTTTCTTCTTCTTGTTCTATACACCTTTCTGGCCATGGCGACGTGAGCAGTGAGAGGAGAGGGAAACACTCTTGTCGGGTGTGTGAAACCCAAGAGAACCTTCCTCACTCCAACTAAACCTCTAATTTGATGCTAAACCTCTTGGCAAAGCAACATCGCCAATAATTTAAAAATGGGATATTGAAATGGTATAAAATATTCGAGAAGCACCGATACCCTCATTTATTAGAAAACGACAAACTCTTACTAAACATTTAGGAAACCAAATTGTCGGATCGGATGGTTCGAATATGAAATTCACCATCAACAATAATACGATCAATTAAATGTGCTTTGATCGAATCGTCCAATGAGACTAACTTATGATAGTGTTACATCATCCGTCACATTGACTATGTTCGGTAGAATTCGAGAGGGTTCATCATCATGCTCAATCGGGAGTGTCCTTAGGGAGAAGAGATCAAGTTATAGTACTGAAACTAATGACTTGGTTTAGTGAGTTAAGCTCATGAAGCTATAGCATCAACAATTGTGAATTGAATTTTGGTTCCTTCTTCCTCTCTTGATGCGACATTGTTGTTACCGGTGATGTGTTCTCATGATTGACAAGTTCTACCTACGATTTTCGAATCATACAGATAGAGTGTGCAAATTCATTAATGTCAAACGACAATGTAGTACCACGTAAGAGATACCATTCATTTCTTATTATCTTATTCAAGAGTTGTTAATTACAGGCACACAACAAAACAAAACAAGCGATTGGCATCGCTCCTACTTAATCAACAAGAGCAGAAGAGAGATGGGAGGGAATAGTTAGTTGGAGTCAAAGATTCGGTTTGATGATTAACGCTAAACGTGTGGTTATGATTATGAACACCACCCTCAACCAAAAGCAAAGACGAGGAAGAAGAACTATTACTAATACCATCGTGTTTAGTTAGTAATTCTGATCAGAGATCCAATCTAGATTGACCAACTCAAACCACACAGCAGGAAATTATAAACATGTTAATTAACCAATCATTATACAAGAAAACAAATTGTTGTTTGTTGGTGACGTGGTTGGTCTTTGGAAGCTGCCCTCCAATTATCACATAATTTATCAATCACATGGAGACATGCAATCGTAATAATGTGGGACACATGAACCACAACATCTAGCTACGTGTGCAGACAGACAAACACATGCAGATGGCACTTGGCAGCATGATCCGTTCCTGCCTGCAGCCTGCTGCTGGACCTTCCTCAGAACCAACGTTGTCAAATCGGTTTAAGTTATTGAGCCGGTTAAGTAAAAGTGTTTGACATTTAATGATCTGATCGGGGTCTTCCCGATTTGAGTCGTTTTAGAGGGTTTCTAAATATATATACAAATAAGGTAGTAATTAAAGATTTAATGACTGAAATTGAAATTTAACTTACATGTATCAATTGAAAAGCTTATTTTCCAAAAAAATAAATCTACATAACCTTTATAACCCACCCACCATCTTCCTCTCTTCCCCCTCTCTTCTTCTTCCTCTTTAGAGGTCGGACCGGAAGGCTTTCTAGAGATCGTTTTGAAGCCCATATTAGGTCGGATTGAGTCCAACCGAGAGTTTGATAGAGGTTTAACAACCTTGCTCAGAACATTCGACACGACCTATATATATAAACACATTAACAATAGCACTTAGAAGAAAGAACTCAACCACACATTTCACATCCCAAAACTAGCATCAAAACGATGCATCTAGCAGGAACACGTCCCAATCCAATCCAATATGAGGTAGTTGGCTTGGCTTCATTGTTTGCTTGTATAAGCATTATTAGTGGTTTAGGCCTTGGGGGTTAAGATCTAAACCTACTACTCATTAATTAAGCATTCAATATTATCAAAAGTCATTGACTAATGACTACGACACATCCCACAAAAGATAATCACAAAATATTGTGTTCTTAACACAATAGCCTGCGCTCCAATCATGCTTGACTTTGTTGGATCATTCACAGCCACAGGATCGACGCAGAGCAAATACATACAGCTGCTGCCTCACATTTATTCCCTCTTTCTCTTTCAATCTCTTATCTTTCTGAGCTCAAACACAGTCAGCTGCTTCGCAGTGGCCAAAAATCAGAGTCCTTTCTCAGAAATAGCATCCTCCAACAAACAAAAAGGAAGACAGAACAAGGATGATAAAGATGCCACTAGTGTAGTGTTACTATTACAACAGGCTTTTCAATTACTACAATTGGCTTTACAGTTGATTGCTTTCCCACAAACTTGAGACCCAATACATCCAACAAATTGTCTTCATTTTGAATGGAGACAGACAGACAGACAAGATTCAGATTACATATGTACAGAAGATTACAACAAAAACCAGAATGACTTCAAAAACTCCCCCTCTTTCTTCTAGCCCTCCCACCAGCCACCATTGTTGACATTACATTCTTGCCACCTTCAAACCCAACCTTTCTACCCTAACTAACAAGGCAACAGCATCCACTAAGGACTACTGTGTTTTCCCCTCTACTCAAATACGTTCTTCCCTTCCTACAAACCCAGCCCTTGGTTTGCTTTCTCTACCACCAAATCTCAAAAAGTTCGAAACTTCGAACTAAGTGGGAGGTCAATGAGTTTTGTGGGCACTTCACACTTGCTTGACGCCTCTTCAAAATCCCATTAACCACCCAACGTAAGGATACACAACCATCTCCTCCCCCCACAAACAACAAACAAAAACCAATTCTCTTTATGCTTTTCCGATATGTACCTTCCTTTACTATCTCTTGAGATGGACCCTTTGCTATCCTTGTCCACTCCTTTGCCTTTGCAAAGATACACTCTCCAGTCTTCATCTGGAGAACAGAAGGAATAACGAGCACAAATGAACATCTTATGGGTGAAGAGCAAGACAACATGACAAGCATAAGCTCTGGTTGCAAGTAAATCTGCCTAAGATAATATTATCCTACACGAGCAAAAAAATTGGTTATGGTAATAGCCATTTAACAATTCAGGTGACAATAGCCCCCCAAAGCTGAAGGTTTCTCTTCCCCATCCTGTCACCAGCTCACAGGGAGCAGCATTGACCCAGCCCTTACAGGCTTACAGCTTCGAACTTGAAAGCTAATTTTCTCACTTCCAATAAAAAAGATGCCGCCTCATAAAAGCTTGGATAATGACCTATACGACTAAGTTGGAGGCAAAGGCGAAGTCTTTGTTTCCTGGGAAAACCCTACCCCACAAGGCCACAACCCACTAATGAGGAGTCTACCAGAATAATCGAGCATTCAATGGAGAGACTAGCTTATGGTCCCAAAGGAAGAGCTTTCCTTTCCAAAGTACACCCTCCCAGTATCCCCAAAATCGATGACTCTTAAGCTTTTGGGAAGATATAGATCTAGATCATATGAACTCACACTGCTACCTCAATTAGACACAAACTGGCAAAGATTCAATTCTACCAGTCATATGATGAGAAGGCTGCAATAAGAACTTACCAGTGGATACAACAAACTCTTAAATCTTTCTTCAGCTGTTTTAATCCCGGAAAATGACTTTGTCGGCAATCTTCAACAATGGCGCCAAGCAATCCGGGGCGAATTTCCTAGCAAACAAGTAGGAGCTCGAGTATTTCGATTCCCTCAAACCCTGAATCAACTCCGGGGAGATTTCGCTCTTCTTGTAAGTATAAGGATGGCCATTGACCGTCCCCGTCCAATTAACCTTGGTCAGAGTGTACTGAGTACACCCCTTGGGATCCTGCATTGACAACAAGGTCGGAAAGTAATGCTCCTCAGGGTAACACTCATCCTCTCTGTAACACGGCATCCTGAATTTCTTCCACAGCCGACGATCCTTGATCACCATCAGCGCGTGGCGTCGGGTCAACACGAAGAACTGAGATCCAACCCTAAAATCCTCAAAGGGAACCTCCGGCATCATCGCGTACCTCCCGCGAGCAACATACCTCTTCCAGAGCCGAGGCTCGTCGGAGATCACCTCAATGAAGCTCTTGTACTGGAGCCGAATCCCGTACTGAGTGGAAGCATCGGGATCCCCGGAGGAGAAATCGAAGGATCTGGACTTGAGCAGGGAGTGGTAGACGAACTTGAACGAGTGCAGCGGGATGCAATGCTGCGAAATCACGGCGAAGAAGGCGTTGGCGGGGTCGTCGAGGATGGCGGTGGCGAGCAGCCGGCGCGTGGCGGAGATCAGCGTCGGCGACGCGCGGTAGGTCCGCTTGGCGCGTTCGATGAACTTGCCTTCAAAGACTCCGCCGGGGTTGGTGACGTTGACGGTCGGATCGGCGTGGACGTAGATGTTGTAGAGCGATTTGGCCGAGGGAGGGCGGAAGAACTTCTCCCAGAGCGGCGCGAATTGCAGATCGGAGTTGGTCAGGAAGAGGAAGGCGATCTTGAGCTTGGGCTTGGAAGCGGCGAGGTGGGAGAAGGAGGAAGGCAGGCGGGTGGTGGTGGGAGTGGCGGACGCGCGGCGGAAGAGCGAGAGGTCTTCGAGCTCGTCGGAGGGCGAGATTGGGACGGAGGAGAGCCGCGGGGGGAGGATTCGCGGGGCGAGGAGGAAGAGGATCGGGAGGGAGAGGAGGAGGGAGAAGGCGAGGACGAACGGAGTTGAGAACATCGACGAGGAAGAGGAAGGGACTCTGAAGGAGGAGGAATGGAGGATGCCGGCTGCCGCGGCGGCGGTTGCGGAGGACGGCGAGGAAATCGACGGGAATGCCGCCGACGAGGATTGACTGCCGTTGCTCGGCATCTCTGTGGGATGCTTCAGATTGAAGAGAGGAGGGAGACGGTAAGGAATTGGGGGAGGGGGAATCGGGGTGTTTTAGGGTTTCGGAGATATAGGGATTGGGCAATTTGGTTAGGGTTTTCTGGTGGGAAGAGAGGAACAGAGAAAAGGAGGGAGATGGAGTAATGGCGGGTTTTGGGGACAGGAGGAAGAAAGGAAGAATAGAAAAAGGCTGGCAGGCATTGGACTCGCGCGTTACTGTTTTACCTTCACGGCGTTAAGATAACCGGCGTCGCCCCACGGTTGAACAACGTTGACTGTGTAAGCGGCGTTAAAGTCGGGGACAAGATGGGAACATTACCCGAATTCCCCGGGGAGATTTTTCCTTTTAAAAAAAAAAAGATTTATTTTGGTTTCTCGATGGTTTCCATTTTGGTTCCGAATTCGTTGAAACGGCAGCAGAGCATTGTTTTGGTTGAAACAAACAAATTCACATTACCCGCCACGTCGTTGGTGCAAGATCGGATCTGGCCGGCCCAGCTCGCCGTTACTGAGTAACAAAATTCTGTCACCTCCAGCAACAAGTCGTAACGTGAAATTGGTTGTCTCATCTTTTTTATCTTATTGTTTCCGGAAGAATCCAACTCGTTCCCTAGTAGTAAATTATGGGTTGTTTGGAAGTTGTAATTGTTAGAGTTGTGTTTGTTGAATGCATGTACTGGGCACAACACAACGTTTGGAAGTGTCAAAATGTTAAAATACAAAAAAGTTGAGATTGTTGTGATTATTGTTTTAGATTTGTGTCAACTTTTTCTTTCCATTTATATTCACAATAGTTTTTGTCTTATTCTAAAAATTGAGGGTAATGTGACGTATCCCCGTAAAAATAACTTTATGTAAATCAATGCATAAAGTAGAATCTCAACAATCAAACAATGTATTATTAAAATGCATCCATTGTATGAATACATGCATTTATATTATAGTGATTCATTATGATACAACGATTTAACATTTGCAACTTCCAAACGACCCCTACAACGTGGAAAACAGACGGTCACATAAGAGAAGCCGATTCGGCTGAAGATGCCCTTTGGTTTGGTGGTGTTGTTTTCTGGGTTATAGATGAATATACCTCTATTTCATTTCATCATATGCTCCGCCAAAAGGGTACGATGAATCAATTAAGAGGAATTCCAATTTTTAATCGCAGATCCGTACTCGCTCAAAAAAATGATGGATTTCTTTCTTGGCATCCGGGTGTGCTTTTCGAGTAGTAAAATATAGAGTTGTTATTATCGCGTAAAGAGAACATAGAGGGGGTTGTGCTGTCTGCTGCGTTTGTTGACCCATTTTCAGTCATTGATTGAAACCTTGTCGTTTTGCAGATTTGAATTCCAAGAAGCATGATCCATGAAAGCGTATCATACCGACGGTTCAACAACCGACATACCAATATTAGAGGCAAAACCAATAAGCGGTATTTAAGGATACTACGATTAAAACACGATTTTATCATAAAAATACGCTACCACTAAATTTCCCGGTACGATTTCATGGACCATGCCAAGGAGACATTTGGTTGTTGGGAGTCGCTCTCTCGCTCACTGGCTCAGTGACAACGCACCTGGCTCCAGCCAGGACAGCTGTGTTCTGCCAGACTGCGACTCTGCAACTTCCGCCATCATGGTCCAGACCAGAGATCTATCGCGTTCATTCATCTATTATCTTTACTGCATCGACGCGCTCGGCTGAAGATTCCCTTCCCCAGCCTGCAACACTCGCTGAAACCAAAGTTGCCAATAATGGAGTTCCAGGACGGGGTCATAATAAAAACTAATAAGTAGACAAAAGAAGGAACGCGTTGATCGAACTAAACTAAACTAAACACCTGAAATAATCACATTCGGCACAGAAACAAAAGCATTACATATATAGATAATAGATAGATAAATAATAATAATTAACAACAAACGATGATGGATAATTACCGAAAAAGAAAAAAAAAATGATGGAGGGAGGGAAGGGAAAGGAGAGGAAATGAGGGATACGATAACATGTTATCACCAACCCAAAAGAAGAAAGGGAAAAAAAAATCTCAAACCTGCCGAAGAATTTCGTCATCATTTTTTCATTATTATTCTCCATCTCGCCACGCCAATAAAAACCTGAAACTCGCCCTGAGTGGGAATGACTCTGACGGCATCTTCTCCAAGACGCCCTATATCAATTACATTATATATATTATGTACAGAACTTATGCGTGACACAACTGACTTGGAAGTTGGAACACCACCATCCCCCAGCTAACTTCAGCCTTCTAAACTTCAACTGCTGATGGTGCAACAGCGACGGTTGCCTTGGCGGTGTTCGAGCCCGCTTTCGCGCTCATCTTTATTATTGGCTTCCTAGACGTTGCAGGCGATGAGCCTTTCGCCAGCCTGCCTTGCCTGGCTGCCTCGGCATTTCCAGATTCTCCCCCTGTATACAAATGTAGCAGCCAGGATGAGGAACGGAGAACTCATAGGGGGAGAGGGAGGAAGGGAGGGAGAGAGAGGGGGGAGCGAACCTTTATTAGGAAGAGACAGCCTCTTCTTCATGGGTTTATCAGGTTGAGCGGCTCTATCTTTCGGGTTGCTGTGAGATCTCTGGGCGATGCCACCGGGCCGAGAGCTGGCTTCTTCGGTTATTAGCCCGGCAACTTGCTTTGGCTTAGGCTTCGGCTTAGTGAAATGTGAGTTGGATGGGGCCTCGAGTGAGCCTGCTGGTTTGCTTGTAGGTGGAGAGCTGCTGCCATTGGAATGAGAAGGACCAGTTTTCTGAGTTGAAATGTTTGCCTGTGCAGCTGGCTTCTTGCCTGTAGGTTTCTGCTGAGGTTTGGATCCATTTTCTTCGTTCTCGTGGATCATCACTCCGTCCTTGAGATTAATGTCGAGAAACCTGTTCTCCCATGGACGGACAGCCATCCATCTCTCCAGCCAGTTCCAACCCCAACTGCTCTTGTCTGGAACAAACCCGGAGGGGATAGCCTGCTGTCTGGAACCCGCCTGCCACTGTGAAAAAACAGATTCAGCTCAAGAGATCAGCCAAATGTAGTACCCAGCTTCTAATAGACATGGCGGCTTAAACATATGCTCTGAATGTTTGAATCGGGAACTACAGGTCAGAGTGGTAATAAATTAAGTCTAAAGAGCAATTTGTGTTGAGAAAAGCTCCAACGTGGTACTACAATTTGTACATCTGGTGGTTGTTACTGAGTCAGTTTGAAGAGTTGAAACTTCGAACTGATTCAAACAAATCACCCTTTTCTTCTATCTTGTTCATTCATTCAATGTTGACTATAAAGTAATTAGGTGTTCGCAACTGTGCTCTCAATATAATACTCTGAGAGGGTTCAGTCTATTAGAGTAATCCGAGAATTATAAGCTACCCTTGCTTCCAAGTATTTATGTTCAATCGTGAGCAACATTTCTCTAGGACAAACTAGCTTATACCCTAAAGAATAACCTGAACCTTTCTAAATACGAGTAAAACCAGAAAGAAATAGTAAAAAATTATTGCCGTACTCTGGATAATCATATCCTTATTCAATCGTCTTTTTCAGATTTCTGGGAGAAAAGACAAATTACCCTGTTGTCTTAACCAGGCAGACAGGATAACATGTTGACAATGATATGTGTTGAAATGAAATGGGTCAACTTGCAAATCAAAAATAGGCCGCAGACCACTCTTCTTCTACAGAGAGCATCCAATCCTTAACAGGTGACTAGGCAGATTCCCCATTTATCTCTCTCTTACAATTCAATTCAAAGGAAAGCATAAAATATTTCATTGGAAAATGCAAAATTCAATGATGTCCAGACGAGTATTAGTTTCATGGCATAAATAGAAATCAACATAATACTAATGTTCTCTACCTGGTGAGAAATAGCATATGCAATAGCTCTCTCACGCTTAGCTGCAGCCTCTTGTCTCTTCAGTAACTTTGCTTGAATTTGTTCAACAGAACCTATACTGTCACACCACCCTTCCTGTGAACCAAAATCATATGAAGTACTTACAAGAAAGAGAAATCTAGAGTCATCGGCATGATGTCTACCAAGAATGAGCAACAATACGTAAGTAGAAGTTATCAGCACTTCATGAACTGATATGAACTACAAAAAACAACTAAAAGATCATATGATGTTGCCATTGATATTCGAAGCTACACATCAAACCTTCCCAGCATCCTGAGCAATATGATAGTCAGCATCTCAACTAACAGTTAGAGCAAACAAATTATTGGCATGGGAGAGAGACAGAGAGAGAGACTGGAAGCAGCGAAGTAGAACACGACCTCTCTCTATTCATAATAATGTTTCTCCATAACTTATTTATGTCACTGTTTGATGGCACTGGTAACAGCTTTCAAGTTCGCAGGTTCCCAGTGGTATTATCCACTTGCGAAGAGAAAGGATGGAAATGAAATAGGATATACAATCAAATACAACATGTAAATTATAACCAGGACAGCTTACTGCATGAGTGCATGAAATAGTACTTATGACCAAGCAAACTGCAGATAGACAGTCACAAGTTTAATTTACGACATAGCTTACTTCTATTTCTCGAACTCGAGCCTCATCTGCGATTTGTTGCTGAAGTTTTTGTTGAGATGTTTGATTCTCTAATGCCAAACGAACACGCCTTGCCCTTACTCGAGCCTGAACCCTTACCAAAGCTTGCATGCAGCGAAGAGTTATGGCAGCTTGCTTTCTTACAGCATGGCCTCTAACAAGGGCTTGTAGTCTCACTAGCCCTTTTAAAGCACGCAGTGCTCTTCTAGCCTGCATGCATGACAAGACCGTAAGTAAAAACTCATCCATTTAACGTCAGAGAGAAAAGTAGATCCGAATAGTAGGTACAGGGTCCCTTATCATGAAACCAAGCATGAAGCATCAGCTCCATTCACAGTGCTATAGTCTCTAGTCTGCAACTTATGATTGCCACGACCCATTCTTATCACCGATTAAAAACAATCACAAACAAGATGAGCTTCAAAATGAGACTCCCAATGTCTGACCTTAAGTTCCAATATCCAAAGCCTAAAGTGTCATAAACTCGAAATTCATACAACAGTAGTGGCGTGTGGTCAAACTCGAAATTCAACTCCATTCACAGTGCTATAGTCGCATGTCTGCAACTTATAATTGCCACGACCCATTCTTGTCACCGATTAAAAACAATCACAAACAAAGTGAGCTTCAAAATGAGACTCCCAATGTCTGGCCTTAAGTTCCAATATCCAAAGCCTAAAGTGTCATAAACTCGAAATTCATAAAACAGTAGTGGCATGTGGTAAAAATTTAAGTGATACCATCTTAAAGTTTCACTAAACATATTCATGGAGTATCCATGTTGATTTTACACCAGTTATTACAAACATCTCCTGCTCATCACCATATGCCCATTCTGTTTTTGACAAAATGGTTTTACTGAAGTGCAATGAAAAGGAAATGATTCATGTAGTCATGTTAACACTTCGTATGATTACTCAAGTATACCACATTTATCCTGGGTGACTGAGCAAAATCGTATTAAAGATTCAAATACTCCAGCCAGATAGAGAGAATATATGTCCACTGGACAAAAACACCAGCCTTTGTGCTCTTTCTTCCATAAAATGCTACATACTCCAACTTTGTCAATTTTTTCTTTTTCTTTTTGGATTTCCTCCTGATGATAATTGCATTCTATTGTTGATCAGCCTTCAAAGTTTAAGATCTTAAAGAACCATTAAGAATGGTAGGTTGACAATTTACTAACCAGTATGAGCTTAAAATACCATTCAATTGTTGCACAAGACAACTTCGTTGAGATGTTCTTGAACAATGTGATGAAACAAAACTAGCGGACGAGCAGATTGTTCATAAATTTGTCTTATAAGTACGCAAGTGAATACCAGAAATCCTCGGAAAGCTGTTTGAATACGAGTGGCAGCCCATTCGTCATGTAATCTCTGTTGATTATGGTTCACATCCTGTAGCTGACTTGAGGTAGCAGGAGATCCTGAAGCTTCTGGAACAGAGTCACCAATCACTGCTGCAACATTGTGATTTAGCTCCCGTTGAAATATGTCCGCACCAATCTCCACTGAATTCTTTCTTCTATGGCGAGACTTGCTAGAAGGTGTTCTCTGATAGAACAAACAACAATAGATGGGTTTACAAGCTCGACAAGATACTATTCGAAAAGAAGACTACCTTCAGTTTGTGAATCTAAAGTGGAACACGTAGCCTAAAATCCAAAAGATACCCAAAGAAAATGTGCAGATGGAATCTGACCTAATTTCATGGTAAAAGCCAAACAGTTTGTGAAGTAAATTATAAGGGGAAGCAAATTAATTCTTTGGAAATTGTTTGAAAATTTCTATGTTGGGCAAAACTAGTGCTGAAGTGAAAAGAAGTGAAAACATCCCCACAAAAAGAAACAAATCCAAGCTACAAATCCAAACAATGACAAGCCAGAGAATAAGAACCCTTGTTGTCACTTGCCAGAGTTCACTTAACAATACTCTAGAAACATCTCTTCCTTCGTTCCGGTTTATCCAAACAATGACAAGCAAGAGAATAAGAACACTAGTTGTCACTTGCCAGAGTCCACTTAAGTCTTAACAATACTCTAGAAACATCTCTTCTTTCGTTCCGGTTTATTCACTTCCCTGAAACTTGGGTCTGTGTAAATCACTCTAAAGACACATGCAAGCAACAATAAATTCATTGCTCGTAACTTTACTTAAAAATGTCTCAGTTTTAAGTAAAACTTACACTTTCCACTTCCTCTGAGGACTGTGGCTTATCTGACTTCTTCATTCCAACCAATGCTTTAAGCCATTTTCCAGAGACCCCCATGGTGCCACTGAGCTGAACAGCACTAACCTGCCACAGAAAAGCAATTAACATATCAGAATGGAAGCTGCAACTCAAAGCCTTTTCGATTCATGATCGGACCAACTATTACGCTGACAAACGTACACAGAGGGATAAGAATTCATATGAAACCATCTCTACATTCACGATCAGGTGCATATCTAAGTTAACACCCTTAGCATACAAATAGAATCATCCAGGTGACCCACTAAGACGTTCAACGAAGAAGGATAGATGAAACAGATTCCGGGTCTGATCTAAGAAATTGTTGCAGAATGCTAATCAACATATGGCAAACGAACCTCCCATACAATAAAATTATAAAAATCAGAATAAGTATGAAGTCTCCATCGGTAATCAAGTAGGAACTTACCAAAAACCCACAGTTTCCACAACTAGGACTTCTTAGAAGGAACCAATTAGAAAAAACGACTGAAGCAAGGTTAGATTGGGTAGCTTACCAGTTAAAAAAACAACTTGAGCAAGCAACCTTTTGCCGAGTGCGACTGAACTGACTCCGACGCGGCCAAAGCGATGGAGTCGATGATTATCCTAGGAATCGAAGCAGAAATAGCGAAACAAGCAAGCAATGATAAGCATTTAATACCGAAGCAGGAGGAAGATGTTAAAAGCCAACGCAAAACCTAGAGAGAGAGCATAATGATTATACCATAACTAGGTTCCCATGGAGATAGATACCAGCGAGAAAAGTCCAAATTTCAGCAATTAAAAAAATGAACCAAAAAAAAAACACTAACTACTAACTAGCAGTCAAACAGGCAATTCACCAAATGTTACCAAGCGGAGACGTGAAAACGAAGCAATCAAACAGCCAATGCATCAATTTACCGCTAGAATTCCACAGCCAATTCACAGATCCACCTCGAACTCGCACCGAGAGACAAACACCGCTCCCGCGCCGAGCGAGTAAAAAGCCTCCGGTGAAACAACTCTTAAGAATTCACTCGCTCAACTCGAACTGAAGCTCCGGCAATCGGAAACAGTAGACAAAATCAACAGCGAGCAATCGGAATTCGGAAGTTGAAACGACGGAGCAGTCAGCAGCCAACCCTCCCTCTCTGTATCTCTATCTCTATCTATCCCTACTTCGCCTGCTCGTCCTCCATCTTTCTCTTTTCTCTCCCCTGGAATTTGTTTTCTGTTGTTTTATGTGTAAAAGAGCCGGCAGCACTGGCCGCGAGAAGTTGAGAAAGAGAGGTTACAAAAAAGGGAGAGACTGTGAAGTGGAGGGACCGGTGTCGGCTAAAGTACGCCGTGGGGAGGAAGGAGAAAGGATTGTTGCGAAACGACGTCGTCGTGCGGGGCGTTCACACGGGGCCGTTGTCGCGGCGTGGGAGGGAGATAATCACGGAGGTGGTGTGGTTTTTTTTGTTTTGTTAAAGACGTGAAGAGACTTTTTCGGGGCCGTATGATTAACTCTGTCAGTCTGTCCCTTTAACATGTGTTAACGGAATCGGAGGGGGCAGTGGCACGTCGCTGTTATGTGCGTACGTTAGCGGGTGTGGCGTCGGTTAAAGACGAAATAAAGTTGGAGGGAAAATAAAACAATTGACCTTTACCTTTTTTTTTCCTTCCTTTTTTTGGTTTCATTAGTTTAATTTTCGCTTTCTCTTGTTTTGTTTTTTTTTGGGAGGAAATGTGATAATGGTGATTAATTTAAAAGTAAACCAAATAAAGGGAAACGTTAAAAGATGTGGATGATTATTCAGAGCCGAATATGGAAAAAGGGTACTTGTTGTGATTGTTAGGTGGAACTTGAGGGTTGTACATGAGCCAATTATTTGGTGGGAGTTAAGAGATCTTGTCACGTAATTAGATCAATGTCAGTTATTGAATTGATTTAATATAATTTGAGCAATCAATTCATTTTTTTATTGAATTAGTAGATATATAGATATTTTAAATTTACACACATTCTTTAGACGGCAAACCCCGTACTATGGGTAAGTCATGAACGATTTGCATTGTTTTCCCAAGTCAAAAATTTGTATCATGTAATGAGTTAACCTATTGTTTAGAAAAGATTATAACGAGTCGTACATTGATCTAATTATATTTTGAGAAATCAATTCCTTTTTTTTAATTGAATTAGTAGATTTATAGATATTTTAAATTTACAAATATTCTTTAGACTGCAAACCTCGTGCTATGGGTAAGTCAAAAATATGTATCATGTAATGAGTTGTCCTATTGTTTAAAAAAAATTATAATGAGTCGTAAGTGTACGATAAGCAAAACTACCACTACTTCAAGGAATAGAAAACTTCTCCAAAAAAGTTTAAACCAATCAATCGTCACATAATTCTATATTATATTAATAGTATAAGTGTCGTTTTGAGTCCATCTCCTAAAAAATTAATCCCATGTATTGCTAATATGATACACAAGGTATCCATCTCATTGAAAAAAGAAAACCCCTAGCGGGGGCGATTACTGTGCACCTAGATACATTCCACTGTACATACAGACTCAAGAGTACTGTTTCAACTCGGAAGGGACTCGAGTGTGGGCGGGTGCAGGGTGGTCACTGGTTGCGTACTGATGGGATTTGCTTGGTTTGGTTGCGTCTTTACCATGGTTTGACATCGTTGGGGGATTTGGTCACTTGGATCCTCTCCTTCCCCCTCACCCGAGTTGATCACATGGCAACTATTTGCCCCTTCGAGTTCTGAGCCCAGAGAGGCAGAGATTGCTTTTTGCTTGAGATGATCGTTGATTGGAGGGGGCTGGAGTTGACGCATGGAAATAGTGAGGCCACGTTTGAGAGAGCGAAGCTGAGGTGAGTCTGCACTCTACAACTTCCTTGGTTGTAAGGATGGCCACGTTGTCGCCTCGGTCCTCGGACCTCATGGGAGGAAAAAGCAATGCCCAAGTTTTCACTGACACCCAGCTCACAATCCCCTACATCTCTCTACTTTCTTTACTCTTCTCTTCTATATCATCTACTCTTCTGTTGTCGTCCTATTTTATTTTAGACACCAATTTTTATCCCTTTCTCTCTCCACCTTTCTCCCCTACTCCTGAAGATGCTCGCTCGGGAAATTGCTCGTTCTTCTTCAGGGATTACGGACAACAGCTTGCAGATAGGGATGGCAATTTGAACCCGCTCCGCCGGGTAATACCCGACCTGACCCGCGATGGGGCGGGTATTACCCGACCCGCATTAGCATGGGGCGGGGCATGGGTATCAACTTCCGACCCGCCCTGCCCCGCCCCATTCTTACCCCGTTCTATGTCAATATTTTACCCCATCCATTCATATATCTCCTATTTTGACTTTTATTCAACTATTTAGATTTGATGTTTCAACTAAATAAACTCAATTACTTATTATATTATCACTATTATTCATTCATCAAGTATTTTCCCCTTCATTTTATCATAAAAAGTAAAATTGTGCGTGTATTTTTCTCAAATAGCATGTAAGAGTGGGTCGACCCGCCCCGCCCCGTTCCCGCGCGGGTATTACCCGCCTCGACCCGTACTAGCGTGGGGCGGAGCAGGGGTATTGAGGTACCCGCCCCGCCCCGACCCATTGCCATCACTACTTGCAGATCTCGCAACCTACGCTCATCCTCTCTACCACGTTGCCGCCTGGGTTTGAGAACGAACCGTATCTGTGCGGAGAAGGTGAAATACCTGGGTGTATAAATGTTTTGTGTATAATATTTGACTCGATTGCTTCCCCTGATCACCACCAACTTTGTCTATTCTTCCCTTTTTGTAGGCTTAAGTTGCAGTTGGAACATCAACGATGATGGTGGGCGGTACTCCAAGAGAATTGGGAAGGGAGAGGTGGGTTATCTCATACCTATGCGGCTTGGAATTCCGTCGGCTATTTTTCATTTCCACTTATCCTCACCCAGATGTGCGGGTTCCGGTGAGCATCCAATATTTAGTTTTTTTTTTTTTTGTTTCTCTTCTCTATGTGAATTGTGATTTCATTCTCTTTTCCCTTCTACTTGCAGATCTGCCAAACTGATTGAGGATCCGCATGGTCATTATGTTGGTGTCGTCTTCGGTAGAGACGGAAACCAGAGATATAGGTGAAAGTTATTCACTCTCATTGATGGTTCTGTTTATTTATTTCCCCTTTCTATACCTCTGTTATCCGAACAAGTTTTCTCTTTTCTAATACATGGCTTTTGTTTGATGCTTTTGAGGACGATCCTGTGTTTTGAGAGGACGGTATGAATCAGACGATTTGACGGAACACCACTAGGAAGTTTAGTGTATGCAACATGATTTGCTATTTATCTATTTATTGTTTCTTTATCCCGTGGGGGTGAATTTGTGTTCCTTTTTGTTATTTGCAGGGGGTGAATTTCTTTCATTGATGATTTGAATTATGAAGATGTTTGCTTCTATGGTTTATGTGAGGAACCTTTTCCATTTTCATTATCGAGAGTGTATTTTGTAGTGAACGTTTGTCTGGATAATTGGACAATGGTTTCATGTTTTCTATGTGCTCTATAAAATTCTATTGTCATTTGTGAGTGGCCTGGCCTGTAAGTTTGGTTACGGTGAAGTTGCACCTGCTGATAAACTTTCTTGTTTGTTATGATAAAGTTTAATCAACTCTTTGTAATTAGGTATCCTATGGTGTGGCATGTAAGACAACCTTTTAGCCAATGGTCCACTACTTTTATGATGATATATTGATTAAAAAAACATTGAATATTAAAGAACTTCTCAACATTTTCCTCCTTTTACTCAAAAAATGTGCCTTCAAGTTACCTACTTCTTTTATGGCAATCTTGATTCACATTTATGTCAAATTGTCAATGTTCCTTTACAAATTAGTTTTTGAGAACTGCAAGTCCCGCTGCGGAGCGCGAGGCAAGAAGACTAGTTAGGAAATTAATCCCATATATTGCTAATACTATACATAAGAGTTATATATACCTTGTGCATTCCTCTCCACATGTAGGGTCTCTATAGACTCTCGGGATACTAATAAA